ACGTAAGACTTTTACGTGAAACTTAACCTCTCTATTGTTCGCAAACTCCAACGCCACCGCTATTTCGTACACGAACGCAGTTCGTTTTATAAGCATTACTCATAAAATAATCTCTCATCGCCGAAGTTGCAACCACTATTTCTCTCTCTCCCTCCCCATGCATAAAAATGGTCTCTTCACTGCAAAAACCTGATAGATGAATTTCACAGTAGAGAGCAGCCATGGTGAGTATCACTGGATGTGCCTTCAGACAACCAAGCCAAACACCTTCTGTGACTCTGCCTTGGACTGGATGCGATCCACCAGTTCCGGGCCAAATAGGGCCGTGCCTTCTCTATACACTAGTAGGTATAGACTAGCTTCATAGCTCAGAGACTCCCAGACTCTCACCTGAGTCATTACGGAGGATTTTAATAGCAAGACGAAATTCGCGTTCGCGTTCGCACTCCAAGGAAAGTCGAACTCGGTGACGGAATTCGCGTTATGAGAAGGATTAGCAAACAGAATTCGCACATGCATGACGTTGACACGATGTACAGGTACAGCGTGGTAAATTTATGACTGCTCTGACACGAATCCGCGATTCGTGTTCCGACTACTTTTCCGAACGAAAACTGCGAAAGTTCGCAATCCAGTTCGCGACCTGAAAAATGTTTGCGAACGCGAACACGAATTTCGTCTTGCTAATCCTCCGTATTTAACACACAGCCCGTTCTGATGGCATTGCGCATCCACGGTACAAACCTCCACTTCCCTGAATCTCAGTCGGCAGGCTACCAAGGACAAACACGTGATCTAGACCTGTGTTTCATCTTCCGCTGCTTTTTGATTCCAGCCGCCAGTCGTTTTCAAGCCTGATTTGGGCACAGCTCTGTGGCTGATTATCAGCAAGATGTTAAAAAGATTCACTGTTGGCCAGGGACGATGAGCAGTGCAAAGAAATCCAATATGTGAGCATTCCAAAGAAATCAATTGGCTGCTTTGATAATCATACATACATCCAGGTGATCTTTTATCAATACGACAATAGTGATACCGAACCAAGAACTCAAGACTATCAGTCGATTCGGGTGAACTGATCATCGCTGAATGGTGCCACTGATAATTTGGCTGATCTGGAGTGTTGCTCTCCACGCGTGTAGAATTACCAGATTGATGATGTATGACATTACGCCCATGACCGACTGTACTCACCTCTAAATTATTGTAATTAACCGCCTAACGCTACGTATCACTAGTTATAGGTTCCTGCATGAACTCCACACCGGTTAACATTGTACGATGTACATGTACATATAAGAGAAAGAGAGCTTGTAGGTACATGTATAAAGATTTGCGACATGGGGTATACCACGACTAACGAGAAAGGAAATTTTATGATACCATCAACCCATCGACCGCTGCTTATATGGAGTTTCTATTTCCTTCGGCTCGTGGACTAAACGCACATTGTGCGCAGCTTCTGGTGTGCGGCGGCGGCGCTTCTGTGATAGTTGTGTTCTGTGCTTAATCGCGATTATCTTTATAGGTTATCGGATGCGGCTGCGAGCAAGCAAGCAACTAATGGAAAACGTAGTAATGACATCCTCCTGGAGTCTTTACCCTCCATACCATGGTACAACGGTAGGAACTGTGACCCTGACTGTGATTGCGTTCAGGTGTTACTGTGACGCCGCGGCATGCGTGCAACTCAAAGACCTAGCCTCCTAGGGCTCCGCACTGCTTCCCCCCAGCGGACGCGGCATATCCACGGTGTGCACAGTATTGGGTAGACCCATGGCGTCGTCGCCAAACTGGCGATCGTGCTTCGTCGGAGTGAGACACCATCATGGTTATCGCTCATTCTCTCTTTTTCTATCACTTCTACTTTTCACGCACGCACCCACCCACACACACACACCCTCAAACACGCACACACACACACACACACACACACACACACACACCGATTCTATTTGAGTTTGATCTACTCCTTATACTCTTTTTTACTCTATTGGTTTGGATAGACTCCCATAGTAGGTATCCATTTACCTCTGGAGAATCCGTAAATAAACAATACAAGTCATGTACAATACACACGCACGCAAGCACGCACACAGACGCACACGCACCTACACATGCAGGCGTGTTTAAAACTTATGGAGCGAAAGAATTGGTTACATTCTTACCGTGTAGGTGAAAGATGCGGTCATCACCATACCGTAGCGTGAGATGTTCGCCTTCGACTTCTTCATCCTCTTCTTGTTGTTATACTACTCCCTGTTGTAATCAATTTGTTCGCTGCGGACTTCACGCCAAGCCCCTATTGTCACCTACATGTATTCCTGGCATTTTATGGTGACAATGCCCTGCATGGGTGAAGTATCAACACAATAGTCGTGCATGTTTCGACCCTTCCAGCGGGCTAGATCGTTGCCAGAATAGCTACCTGTGAATGTGCGACGTTGTTTAGCAGACGATTACTTGTATGTGTAGGATATGTGCGCATGTATTGAGAGTTGAAAGCATGGTCTTGTAGTTCAGAGGGTATGGTGCAGAGCCTCAAGGCACACATGATTGAGTCAGTGCAACTCGCCCTAAGGGCATCAGGCAGTACAGAACTGCTATTTCATAGGCCCGACGGTGTGAAAGTTGCACTCATCTCCTCCACCTGTCTCTCGTCGCCTCGGCTTCAGCTCCCAAAGGCAGGGATCATGATGGGTCTCCCGGGGGCGGACAATCCTCTCAGAAATTCCAACGATTTCAAAATAAGGCCCCCAAGCCTGTCGTCTTCGGCATGACTGAAGGACAACTTGGGCTACCTGAAGGAAAATGCCAAGGTGCAATACTGTGGTATGGTCTACAATGACTAGCAAGCCAATCCTGATGATGCGTATGCGAATGTCGCGCTATGCAGTATGCTTGTGTGCATGTGCATGTGGATCACTTGCAATATGGTGTGATACAGTGTTGGTGACTGTTGGAGGTGGTAATATCGCCCCGGGGGTCACACTACCAATGCCTCAGGGATGGCGAACAACAGAACAAGCAATTTCCTCGGCGAGAGAGTTTAGAACTAGCAGGGAGCAATCCTGCTCGAGATAACAATGGCATTTTAGAAGAGCGACACGATTACGTGTAAGACTTAGACTTAGTGTTGTTGACACATGGTACATGATTGTACATGTACATACTTATACATACACCATTGTACCTGTCTTGCTCACTCCTCGGCTTTTAAAGAATCATCATGATTTCCATTTCAGAGAAAGCCAGAAAGGCCCCCAAGATGAATCAGGAAGTCCCCCTTTCTCTCGTTTCCAATACAATGTCTCTGTAGCAGTGTACATGTATTAGACCTGACGCCTGGTGACTGTTTGTGTGGAATTGTCGTGATCCACAAACTGGTTCACCCACTCCAGTAGACATACATGCATGTACTCCCTGACACTTGCTCTGTGCTTCCGCAGGTACAGGTAGATAAAATAACATTGTACCATTAATTTAATTAATGGTACAATGACTTAAAGTCTTTCACAGGGACCTTTTTAAAAGCTTTCTCTAAACATCGAGTGGTGGTATGGACCACATGCACATACATGTATAGGAAAACCTGTCAAGGCGACCACTCGGATAAGGCGACCACCTGTCCAAGAGGACCACTACAACCGGGACCAAGGGATGTTATTCTCAGTCAAATAACCCTGGATAAGGAGGCCACCTGGTTACAAAGACCACTTTTGAAGGTGCCTTGAGCGGTCGTCTTAGACAGGTTTACAATCATGTACTGATGTAGTTCATAACAAAGTCATAATTTTTATCTAGGAATGGGCTTGCTCCCACATTGGAGCTCGCGCTATTCCGCCGACTTGAGTTGACACTTGACTGACTCACGACTGCCATCCAGAGAACACGAGAAGTCCATCGAACCTTCGACTCGGCAAACCTGAAAGAAAGCACCACTCCCTGCTCAATACACAGTGTTTCGGGGAATTCACCCCTCATCAGTTGAGCTTGAGTAGGCTAGGCTGAGGAAGATTGTGCCTGGCTGAAGAGCACCACTTACAATTGTATACTATAGACGTGCTGTCCAGGCACAAACATCACCAGGGATACAAATTTACAGAGACACTCCGTTTCCAGCGCGACAAACAAGTCAAGTCAAGTCGGCGGAATAGCGCGAGCTCCAGTCCGGGAGCAATCTGAGCAAACCCATTCCTAAACAAAATCATCGCCGAAGTCGCAACCTCTATTTCGTATAATTATTTTTATCGATGCGTGAATTCGCCGCGCTGTCGGTACCGCGGAACGGTGAGGGTTTCCACAAAATTCAAGAAAAAAATCTCAAAATTCAAATTCAAAATTCAAAAAATATTAGGCAAATTTCAATGATAAAATTCAAAAAAATCGCAAAATTTAAAAAAAATTCAGCCAATCACTCTGGTTGCGCCGAAACTTCTGGATATCACCATGGCAACACCATGGTAACGCAAAATGGTGGCCGAAGAAAAATGGTTGTGGTCAATCTTCTGTCAATCTGCTTTCCAGTTCTGGTGATTTATTATTATTATTTTTTTTGATCCAAGGTTTCTCCACACAGGTCGATGGGACGATGGCATCCAACAGCTTACTGGAAACCCAAAACCAACCATGCGAGTGGGTAATGTATGGCAAAATTCAACAAAAGGGACTAAAAATTCATAAAAAAATCAAAAAATCAAAAAAAGCCAAAATTCAGAAAATATTCAGAATTTTTTGTGAAATCCCTAAACGGTGTCCGCTGACATGATCTGACGTGACTGCATCATCCTGACTTGTACATGACAACATCCATGGTGTCACTAGCAACGATCTCCTAGCAACAGTTCGGAGCGTCTGGACGGCCGGTGGCACTCTGCTGCATACATGCACGCGAGTAGATCTACATGTACGTGTCAGGCTAACCCGAGCCAAGACTGATCTGACCGCGCGGGTGCAAACCGGTGTAGTGCGGGTGAGAATGATCAAGTGTGAGATCGAGAGTGCAAGTGAGAGTATGAAATGCTTTTCAAAATTGTTTTGTTTGTGTTGCAAATTTGGAAGGCCCTCCATTGGCAGAGGATACTCAGAACAACGAAGAGATTTCCTGCTTCCCCATCGTCAGTGAATTTTCCAATAATTGTGAAGAAGAGAACAGTTCAGACAGGAGTGGAGAGACCGAGCTGATTTGATCGCCGTTACCTCTCGAATCACCAGCTGCTCCGTATATCACCAGCTTTGTAGTCGACGAAAAGAAACACGCTGTTTAGCTGAGCAGCGATGGACGTCCGTCAGTTGCCCGTGAACATAGGCTACCTGAATCACGCCGGCATCGCACTGAGCGCAGAGGAGCGCACTTGTCTGCAGGCCGGCTTCGACGCGTGTCGCTTCAAGGAGGGGTTCCACACGCTGAAGTTCTGGGGCATCATACACGGTATCAACGCCAAGTATTACATTGTGCAGGGACTCCAGGAGGACCCATTGAAGCCCCGGATTACACTATACAGGTACGGGCATATCATAATTCATATGCTACATGAAGCACGCACATGCCGCTGAGGCACAAACATGCACAAACAAACAAACACACACACACACACATACACACACATACACGCACACACACACCACACACACACACACACACATACACACTGATCTTATTCAAATTTTTGAGAAATTGGTGGTGTGTACCATGTGCACTGCACAGAAAATGCTGAGTCCGTCGGATGATCTGAAACCATGGACTTGTTTTGCACCATTCACTAGCATGCACTGCTGAGGAATTAAGCATTGATAATGGCACGTATTCATCTAAAATGGCGGACGCCCACGCTGCATACATGGTATGGGCGCACGTGAGCCATGCTGGGGGGACACTTGTTCGATTCCGCATACAAATGTATACAAATGCATGGAAAAGAAGTTTCTCTAATCGCTGGAACTTGTGAGTTTCTTTCGATATAGACTACTGGTCTTCAAGGTATACAATAGTAGTGACCCAACGAAGTGGAATTTGCGGAATACAACGTTCGAGACGGCTCAACAAGTCAAGAGTAAAGTGCGAATTTACTAGGTACGCAAATGAGAAAACCTACTTGTTTCCCCGCAGCGCTAGTCACGTGCGCCTTCAGTGAATACGTGCCATTCAACTGGGTGTTGCGCCACACAGCACACTGCATGGTTCTGGCCCGTGAGTGGTGTGACACATGTGCACTCACACACCTCAAGTTGCAGTCTTGCACACTGCACTGATGACATGAACTCCACTATATCAGGGGTGTTGGAACTGGTGCTGCAGGTGTGGCCAGAGTTGCCCCAAAAAAATTTTAATGTGATTTTGGAAACGGGAGGGCACTGAGACCCTCCCCCCCCCTCCCTATTCATAGCCGCACCAATGTAGAATACACACCCCTGTATACAGAGCAGCTGAGTTGAGAGAAGGGGGTAGGGCGACACAGCAAGAGTATTGCTCTAGTGTCGAACAAAAAATTACGTCGAATTCAGCAAACTCGCACGCACACACACACACACACACACACACACACACACACACACACACACACACACACACACACACACTGCACGTACACACAAGATACAACAACAACAACAACAATGAGACTTACCATGCTGAATTGTGCACAGGTGCATCCACCAGAATACCTGCACTGGCCGGGTAGAGGTACATGTACATGCATGTTTTCGGCACTGCAGTTTAACTGTTACACATGGTATTGGTATTACTTGTATTTCCATGCTGAAGTCGCTTCACAGGTAGAAATTCGACAAGGGGTGGGGGGGGGGGGGGGGAGGTCAACAGTACTGCTACATTGAGTACTGTCAACATGTCTACTCATTCGCGAAATTAGGCAATTACTGTAAGACATGTTATTATAACGAGTCGCAAATTTAATGATCGTCCAAAATTCATTATGTCAACGAGAAGAAATGTTAACGATCTTGCAGTATTCTGGCATATCCACGCACAACACACATGTATATGAGGCAGTACGGCCTCAATGGATCTTAATATAACAAAGAAATGTCATCCGTGAAAACGTTAGATTTACTCAGTGACCTCATTAGTACATGTCTTACAGTTTAGCTTTTTATTTATTTTAAATATGTAGTTTATTTTCTGTCAGTTTGTGTGTGTGTGTGTGTGTGTGTGTGTGTGTGTGTGTGTGTGTGTGTGTCACTCTTATTTACTCTCACTCTCTTTCTCTCTCCTCTTTCTATCTCTCCGTCTATCTCTTTCTCTGTCTGTCTGTCTGTCTGTCTGTCTGTCTGTCTGTCTGTCTCTCTCTCTATCTCTCTCTCTTCCTGTCTCTCTCTCTCTCTCTCTCTCTCTCTCTCTCTCTCTCTCTCTCTCTCTCTCCGAATCACACCCGCATACATACACACCTGCAGCAAAGACTACGCCCATTGGGCGCGGTTGCCAAGCGTCACGGACGAGATGAGGAGAAAGACGAGGCATGTGCGTGGGCGCTTCACCGGGGATCCGTCGTTTGACTTTGAATACTGCTACAGAAAACCAAACTTCAAAGCAAACGATGAAGATGAACACGGCAACGATGTTCTGACCGAGCGTACCTCCCTGAAGGAGGAGGAACGATTAGCGGCCACCGTTGAACTGATCAACCATGAAGTGGAGGTGATGCCGCGGGGCTACCTGAGAAAGTCTGCAAAGGACGAGGTCAAGCCTAATCCCATGTGGCAGGGCCTGAGCTTGGAGGAAGCGCTGCTGCGCAGCAACTACTATCACGCCAACCCCAAGAGGATGCGCAAGCTGACCGCCATGGTGCCGCCGCGCAACGTACCCGCCATCGACTTCCTGGAGTCGATCGAGGACGCCCACTCCAAGCCCTGGTGGTTGGTACGGGGTTATCGGGGCTCGACGGTCGTGACTCTACGTAGCCTGCTCTGGGAGGGCTACACGTTCTTCATGGTGCCCGACTCGCGCACCTTTGGCTCATTCTACTCCGGCTATGGTGAGAGAAATCTGGATGTTGTGCACATGCTGCCGTGCCCTGTCGCTATCGATGCAGAGTAGGCTATCATCTTGCTACGGATGGCAGCATGCCTACTTTCCAGCACCCGACTGACTTCTGCCGCTGCTGTAGGTGACGAATAGAGCATGCTGTGCTGGGCAGGCGTGTAACTGTTAGTGAGTTGTCTCGGCTTGCCGTGTCTCCGACGTACACCGGAGCAGTGAGTTTCATACTGAGTGTCTGGCCATGGAGAGGTTCATTCTGTGCATTGGCTAGTGCTGGACCCTCTACAGCCAGCCCCAGCAGTACTTAACACCAGCAGTATGTAATATGTGACAAGTGAAAGCCAAAGATACTATTCTAGTATAGGATAAATATCTGACAAGTGATCACCAAATATACCAGTGTACTGGATAAATAACTCTATGACCTGTTTGCGGTGTATGCTACAGCTTGACATGCAGCACAACCACCCGTCATGCTCATAAACGCGCACACACAGACACGAACACGAACACACACACACACACACGCACACACACGCACACACACACACACATGGACACTACACTTGACGGCTCTTGCTGGATGTGCCTATAAGGGCGAGTCTTAGAAATTTGATTACTATAATTTTACTCAATGTGATTGCTAACACAAGTGAACATGGTGGTGTTTGTTTTGAGCTATTCATGCCAGTTATGTCTACTGTGATCTGCAATGGACTGGATTTAGCATCTGTTTTTCTTGTGACTTGGAACAAAGTGAAATTTTGTTAGTGTGCTATTTGGATATTTCCGATGTAGTGTACAGGACGATCCTTGACGGCAGGTCAGAGTGCATAGTGAGAGTGCTGACAGATCTAAATCAGCGCTCCAGATCCCCTCCCCACGAAAAATCCAGTGGAGTTGGTCTCTACCCCGTGTTTCTTGCTCTAGGCAATCATTTTTAAAGGAGACTGGTTCTAACAAGAATATACAGTTGCTTTCCGCATGCGTAGGAACGTCACCAACCCTCAAGGATCAAAGTACGAGTACACAACCAAGATGTCAAAATAACAGAAAGTCAGGAAGCCGGATTCCAGTGAGCGGACTAACGGTCCACTCTATAATCAAATACAGTCAGACCTCACTTATCCGGTCCTCGTTTATCCGGAACCCTCGCCATCCGGAAGAAAATCGCTGGTTACCGATGTGCAGCATATGTTATGCATACAACATAACCGGACTTCGCGATCCGCATATACCGGTGCATGATTTTGTGTACAAACTGGTTAAAATGTGTACAAAAAGCTTCGTCGTATCCGGTTGCATGTGGCTTGCAGAAGCTAGAATCAGGGAGTTGTGCAGGCAAATGAGGTCCTTGACCTACTGGGTGCACGTGGACAGCACTCAGTTGCATGCACTTGTCATTTTTCTCGCTTGTTTTACCTACTGTGCACGCTAGTTGTACTGCATAGGACCCGTCTACATGTATGTACGATGCCACTGCTTTCGACATGCCACATGCATAATACAGTATGTGTGTTCAGTTATCCAAGAAACCACCACCCACATAAACGTTGTCACTCAATTGCCAAAAACACAGCAAACACTTTGCGCGTAGGTTCAGGAAATCCTCTTCAAAGTTAGTTAGCTGCACACAAGCAGACTACATGAACTACTCACTGGTCAGCCTGTATTGTAGATCCACGCTCTTCGCCTGACCGTACAATACCCCCCCCCCCCCCCCCCCCCCATACCAAGAGTACGATAGTCAGACTCATACTCATAGACCAAGCAGTGTGCCCTACACTGGCTACAGCAGTATGCCCACAGGACAGTAGAACACGGCTGGCGGCATAGATACTGATTCCATAGTTTAGTTACACCATTCAAACTAATGCCTTTCTAATGCGTTGGTCAGGTCACGTGCGGTAATCCTGCAGCGAAATGTTACAAGCGTCACTTCATCAGAGATGTAAAGAAAGAGGGGGAACAGAAGGAGAGGGAGAGAGAGATAGAGAGGTCAAACAGACTGCGACCAGGCAGCACAGCGTACTGAAGAAATCAAGATGCACGCCGTCATCACGCACCAGTAGCAGAGAGCAAAGACTGAGCCAAGGAGAGAAAGAAAGAGAGAGAGATAGATAGAGAGAGCAGAATGGTTGGTGTGTTAGAGAAAGAACCACCCTGCTAACAGAAAAATGCAGGACGCCAGGTTACTGTTGGTACGAAAAGTGACAAAAGTACAGAGCTGCAAAAACAAGCTCTGGCAATACAGTGCGGTGTGGTGCGGTGCAGTGATTCTGAAGGTATGCATCTGAACAATGCGTATAACTGGTGGCTTAACACGACGCACAGCTGCACACGCACGGCAGGAAAACTAGCAATGGACGACAATGGAATACAGCCAAAACACGCTGCTGCCGCCGCCACCGCCATCACACCAACTAACATGAGCTGTAAGCTACTAGGTTGAGAGGACATGAATGAGCCGCGCACATATCAGCCTGCTGTTCCAGCCAGAACACGAAGCCAGTCGTAGCCAAGTCGCATCGACGCCAACACGGACGCTGGCAGGATCAGGGAGGCCGTGATGCCGACACTAGTGGGACAAGGCAGGTGCAAACCCGGCTTTATCACTGCTCCTCTGACTAGAGACGGATTAGAGAGGTTCCATCACTGTTAGTCGGACACATTATCATTCGCCTACATACACGCTTCTCATCGAGTAACCACGACAACAACGAACAGGACAATAACGAAGAGAAAAGAGCAAGCCAACAACAGGTCTCCAAGATCAGTTTACGATCCCTCCTGGCTCTCGGATTCAGTCTTTCCTTCTCCGTCAGCAACTGCCATCTCCTTTAGCTTCTCGGTGACTTCCTCGGTGGCTTCAGCAGACTTTTGGCATTCTTCTGCCTTCTCTTCGGACGTTGCGGTCGCCGCAGCAGATTCTGCTTCCTTACTCGCTGCTACCTCTTCGGTCTTCTCCGAGACATTGCTCTCGTCCTTCTCGTCGTCAGTATGCTCGCTATCGTTTCCTACCTCGCCATCGTCCTCACCATTCGGGTCAACCTGACGGGCAATCTCTTGCGCTGACTCAAACGCAGTCTTGAACGCATTGGCATCTGCAAAAGGAAGAAGAACAATTGCACGCATACACAATTAGCGGCGGATTGGCAACAGGATGTGACGTGGTGAAAAGATGTCTGTATGCACTTCCTGTTTGACATTTCAGAGAACATGTCTGAAACCCCCCAGGAAAGGCAGGCTAGGCCATTCATTGCGCAACTTGCGGACACCTTGGAACTTGGGAACACCTTGAAATGGATTCAACTCGGATGGAGAGCCTAGGATTAAAATTAAAAAAGAGGACCACAAGTTTACAAGTTATCCGTTTTGTCCAACACTAACGGTTATAAGCAGAATACAGCAGAATTGTTGCACATTTTTGACTCAACAGTATTCTGCTTATAACCGTTAGTGTTGGACAAAACGGATAACGTGTAAACTTGTGGTCCTCTTTGTTAATATGAAACCTTGAAATGGGCCCAAAACGACTGAATTTTGGGACCAAAGCGAGCGCTGTACACCTGAGTAGCGTTCACATTATTACCACACGGAGCCATGCCTACATCAAGGAAAGCCGTGGCCATTATCTCCAGAAATCACTAAATTGCATCGCGAAAATAGCCAACTTTCAAGGGTTATGTAACCGGCACGAGTTACGGCGTCTATCTTAACCCTTTCACTGCCAGCTGACCACTTAAGGTGACAAGGCGCTCCCTGCCAGGCTGTCAGCTGAGCTGTATACCCCCTCCCTGCCAGGCACTTTTTGCCTCCAGCTCGAAAAATCGAAAGGCCAACTTATCATGGATTTTTTGGTACTTTCTGTACGGAATATCGCTTTCCAAAGTATACATCGTAGGTAGACAACTCATAAAGGAAGCCATTGCCGTCGAAAAAATCGCAAAATCCGAAGTACAACCGTGCTGGGCGCTCTAGCGCCAGCCGCTGTGCAAAAATGCATGTCATGTCATGCGAAAGTGCGCCGTGCGCCGCATGCGCTACATACACTATGTACACGATCGGCCCGGACACTCGCGAAGTAAAATTAGTTGTTGTTTTGGAGAGAGAAGCAGATCCTTTTTTTGTTAGCTGGGATTGAAAGATCTGCCAGTGGACCGGAGAGCTACAAGACTGGAAGCAGAAGAGATGGCGTGCGGAATGTTCTCTGTCTTCGTGGCAACAGGACTTCAGTTGCGAGAGACTTTCGTCCTGTTGTTGCGGACGAAATTCTAGTTGCTGCCACCAGAAAACTCGGAGAACGAAACGATCGTAAGTCGTTTGGTGAAGCAGATCGTGTCGGTGAACAGCTGCGGAATGTTCTGCCGCCATGGTGGTCGTTTGTTCTCCTGACTAGCAGCAGTCCGAATACATTTCGACTTCGGAGAGTGAAGCGCTTCCCTGTTCCGTTGACAAGCGCGGCGTTCGCGGGTGTAATGCACTTTCGCATCAGCTTGCAGTAGATCGTCAGGTATTGAGCTTGAGGTAGGTGTCGTTGTAGAAAGAATATAATTATGTTGTAGCTGACATACCTGTAGTGTCTCTTGACTGTGCTGGTCGCCATTGTAACGTGGTAGTTCTTAGAAAAGTTTAGTTCTGGACTCGGTGAGCGCCGCCAGCGCTGTTTCCGCCAAGTTTGCAGTGAATGCGTCCGTGAGGAATCCGTCGTGTGGTTGTCTCTACCCGTGACTCCAACCGCCTATCGCAATGGATAGCCGCCTGGAGTCTTGGGTAATGGCTAGGCATCAAGTCTGAACCAAATGTCATGCTCCTTGCAATGAAAGTTTACGGGAAAGAGAAAAAAACTGGCACCGACTCAGGAAGGTGGAAGTGCGTGAGAACCGATTTCTTCCGCGCCCCTCGGCTAAAAATCGGATGCGCATTTTCAACGACGCTGGTTCGATTTTCTTCAAATGGCAACCCATGCTTCTGGCAGCGTATTTCGATGGGTATGGACCTCTTCTAGGGCCTAGTGGCCCTCTACCACGGCTAAACATCTCCAATAGTCAAAAATAGCGGCCCAAACTGGGTGAAGTCTGCCTGTCGACAAAAGTCGACGGTGGCACTGGGGACTGCATGTTTGCTTGTCGACTTTCGTCGACAGTGGCATTCAGAGTGCATGAATGCGCTGTCGACTTTCGTCGACAGTGGCAGTGAAAGGGTTAATGACCTATGCACTGCACGACAGTGGATGTGTACCATATCACCGATTTCGCTCACATCTTGCCTTTAGGTTTCCTTTGGTGTTTACAAGCATGGGAAAGGATTCGTTGTGCTTCGTTGCACAACTAACGGACACCTTGGTACTATAGTCTGTTTCAAAAAGATTTACAATCAGGTTTGGGTCTTAAAAAGTATGAAGATAAGGGAAATTTGGACAACAAAGTACATAGAATGGCTTGTTAGGACACGGCAAATTGTTCTGTGAAGGTTTCGGAACAATTGGACCAACCGTTAAGGAGTTAGAATTTCGGCCAGGTTTCCGGCCTTTTCCCATGGTTTACAATTTGCCCAGGAAGCCAGTATCGATTTTTTATCAAAACCCACGATTTATCATTTCCTTTTTGGCCTTGTGGTTATGAATGCTGTCTGCTGACCATGAAGTTGTGAGTTCAAATCCCAATCTATCCTCAAGTCAAACTTTTTTTCATTGTTTTGGTGATCAAGCTGGTACAAGACAAAGAAGATGTCTGCACCAAACGACTTGTTGTTGGAGGTCGCGCTTCCTGCCGAACTGACTGACACTTGACTGGCTCACGCCATGTGAACACACCCACAACACTGCAATGGTGTGAGTGAATATGGAAGTCATCGCGCTGTAGCTTTTTGAGATTTATTTTTAGTATTTCAAGATCGCCAATTTATTTGAATTTAGCAGTCAACGCCGTCTTCTATCAGCGTTCACAAGCGTCTGTTTTTCTCAAAATGTCGTCGAAGTCACACGGATAGCTTTGCCAAGTCATGGCCTTGGGAATGAGTCTGTGTCGATGTCGTTTTCGTCACACGGTGAGTAAATTGCATCGCAGTTCAAAGAAACTATTTTGGTCACAAAACGGATTGGGACACATGCCGCTCGTCAACACTTTCGTTTCGACATGTCCTCTCTGACTCCATTATCGATACGAGGAAGAACTCGTTTGTTGCAAACCAGACGTACATGTGCGTACATGACTGTATCAACGTGAGTGAGTTGTCATTTTTCCTGCTTTCGCGCGGAATATTTCTTCGAGTTCACAGTGAGTTTTTCCAGGCAGCGCTCGAGTGCTCATACGGTAAGACGCCAAACTCCGCGGGCGATCGCCAGGGTTGTAAATCTTTTTGAAACGGACTGTAAACATCACTTCGCCACATTGCAGAGCATTGCAGCTGGTGAAATTCGAGTCGTTCAGGGAAGGAAATGCTTGTTGTTAGGAGTTCAAAATTCTTGTCAGACTGCGTATGGTGACCACGCTGCAGGAGTGTTTGGCGTTCTGGTGCCTGGAACAGTGCCTGGTGTTGAAGCTTGAGGCGCTTTCCGTTGTAGGGTAGGAACTTGGCCAAGTCGCAATGTGGCGGAGTGAAAAATCATTCAAATCTCTCTATTTCTTTATTTCTTTATTATCTCCAGAAATCACTAAATTGCATCGCGAAAATAGCCAACTTTCAAGGGTTATGTAACCGGCACGAGTTACGGCGTCTATCTTAATGACCTATGCACCGCACGACAGTGGATCATATCCACTACCACCCAGGACACAACATCTCTTATCGAAAAGTTCTCCACGTCTTTTGGAAATAGACAGAAATAGAGAGATTTGAATGATTTTTCACTCCACCACATTGCGACTTGGCCAAGTTCCTACCCTACAACGGAAAGCGCCTCAAGCTCCAACACCAGGCACTGTTCCAGGCACCAGAACGCCAAACACTCCTGCAGCGTGGGCACCATACGCAATCTGACAAGAATTTTGAACTCCTAACAACAAGCATTTCCTTCCCTGAACGACTCGAATTTCACCAGCTGCAATGCTCTGCAATGTGGCGAAGTGATGTTTAGTACCAAGGTGTCCGTTAGTTGTGCAACGAAGCACAACGAATCCTTTCCCATGCTTGTAAACACCAAAGGAAACCTAAAGGCAAGATGTGAGCGAAATCGGTGATATGGTACACACTACCAATTTTTCATACACGCCCCCACATATGTTCTTGGAATGAAAAAAAACCCACGAGGATGAGAAGCCAGGGAAGAGAGAGAGAGAGAGAGAGAGAGAGAGAGAGAGAGAGAGAGAGAGAGAGAGAGAGAGAGAGAGAGAGAGAGAGAGAGAGAGAGAGAGAGAGAGAGAATGTCCAATCATAATTAGGCAAATGTAGTCCGACAAATGCAGTTTAGTAGTGCATTGTGCGTATGCGGCCAAGAAAGAAAGACCGACAGAGAGATAGAGAGGGAGAGATAGAGAGAGACAGACAAACACAGAGAGACAGAGAACTCACTGGTGCTGTTCGCAAATCGAATGGCCAGCGTCTCAGACTTGCTCTCCTCATCGGCAAAGTCACACATGGTGGTGTAGAGCCATGCCCGGTCTGATCCTCTGTTTGGCCGAAGCTCCATCTTTGCTGTGACTGCACACGCCAGAATCATGCCACAACAACCAACAACAACAACAACAACAACAACAACAACAACAACAACAAACAGATTTCAATAGAGGAGGTGAAGGTCAGAGAACAAACTTGACAGTGCTACAATAAATTCTCTAGCAGGCCAAAATGCTAGTGTTGAAACGAGCGTATCTATAACAAACGAGCGATCAGTTCCACTAACGAGCAAGCTATCGAGCGAGCTAACGAGTTTCATTGATGTGGCAAATATGATTTTTTGAATTTTTTTTCAGCTGATTCAAATATCACCGCCGGCATTTGGCGTTGCTGCTGCTTCACTTCGAATTGCTGTTTCGTGTCAAGATGTCTTTTCAGCGTCGTCGTTGAGCAGCCTTTGTGAGAATAGACCCTTTTGGAAAGATTGCAAGTAGCCCTGTTCTTCGCTGCATCGCGGGAGAAAACTTCCAAACGACTCAGCGTCACTTTCACTCGAATGGAGAGGTGACCGAAGCATATCCTGCGACAGGTCAGCAGATGCGGAACAAGACATCAGTAGAGTCCACCAAAGCTGCAACGACAACTGAAACAACTCAGTGTCGTGCAGGTATACAGTCACTGTAACTGCGAGTGATTTTCACTTTGCGCGGGACTGCACTCTCGATCGACCAGGGAGTCGTAAAATATTCTACGACTCCCCGGTCAACATGTACTGCCATGTGTACGGAGTACGGTGTTCGTTAGTGCAAACGAGCTGGCCGCACAAACGAGCCGAGTTTCTGGCGAGCGAGCTAACGAGTACCCGGTGAGATCGTTTCAACATTACAAAATGCATCTACACACAGTACCAACTACACAAAGGCTGAACAACAGAGACCAAAAAAGAAATTCCGTAACTTTACTCTGAGGTTAGTGCAACAACTCATCAGAAAGCAAGATACAAAACTCGAGCTGTGGCAAGATTTTTTGTCCCTGTTGTTTGGCCTTGTGTGTGCTATGCTCTACCCTTGCTTGTATATAGAGGACTATTTGCAGCAGGAACGCTAGATACTCTGGCCACCGCATCAGCACCGCATTTTCGACAGGATGTATGTGTATCCATTACAGTTTGAGGGAAAGTTGTAAACGGGAAAAGTCTGAAGACAACAAGTTGACTGTCACCACCAGGATTCTATGTAGTTTTTCTTTGTCCCCCTATGTATCTTGCAGCTGTAGGAACGACACTACCCTAAGGATCAAGGTGCATATGCAGCTCCTGAAGCGGAAACATGGATGCAGTGAATGGGATTTTCGGTGTTTGATCTGATCTAGCTACAAAGCAATGCAATTAATTGAGGTGTGCTCATCATCATGAACCCGAAGCCAACGTGTCGAGAATTGAGCTACACAGCCGTGTTCAGTATCTCAACATGCTGCCATTCCGTACGAAACACAGAGAAGGAGAGATAGCGTGTGGGCGTCGGTGGAGTTTGAGAGAGATAAAGAGAACTCGGTCCTAACGTGCATGCATTACAGCAGAAGCGCCACAGCCACCGTCAACACTACCAGCAGAAGCACCACCACCACACACCCACCCACCCCACACACCACCACCACCTGCATTCCAAGCATCAACAAAACAGTAGCACTGAAGTACTTACCGTAGTGGTTGGCGCAGATCTTGAGCGTCTTGTCTCTTCGCATGACAAGACGAACGAGACGGCCTTCCTTCTTCAGAAGCCGGACATCACCCGTTCCTCTTTCCTTCCACTCCGGTGGGTCGCACTCCACGGCATAGCGGAACAACCGTGCTCGGCTACACGCACACACACACACATGGAAAAAGAGCAGACATTTAAAAAGGTGCCAGAAAAAAAAGAGAAGAGAATAACGTGACTCCAAACTATTCCCCTTGTGAATGCCTCTGCAACCAGACTTGCAATGAACACGATAACAGTCAGATATTGGACACTCTTCGATCAGATTCGACTTGAATGAATCCGGCAATATTTTTACTGGACCGGCCAAACAGTCGGACTGAATTCAGCAATGGCGTCGTCGACAAGGAGAAGGATTGACGATAATGGCGCTCTCCTCCTTGGGAAAAGAACCTCTCCGAGCTTGAGAAGCCAACTGTGAAAAGTGGATTGTGCAATATGACAACGCAGTGCTTGTAGTCCACGTGGCATTAGTTTAAGCGCAACAAAAGTGAGCTTGACTACATACATTATAACCTGGTTTAAGCGACCCCCACGGACCACGGTGCAAGCAAAAGCGGTCGTTAAAGCCAGGTGGTCTTTAGAACCAGGTCCCACAGTGTCCGTGTAGAACTGTCGGTGCATGGAAAAACGGTCGTTAACCCTTTATTACCGGATTACTTGCACAGCATGCACCAAAATTACGAATTTCAGCACAATTTCCAACTTCACCAGGTCATAACTTTTGTCTACTTCACTTGATTTTCACAATCTAGGGCTCGTTGGAAAGCTCTTGGCGAGAGCAACGCCAGGGTACCAAGCTCCATCATCCAGTCGCCACAAATCCGGCGCGGTAACACAGCAAAGTCGTCTCCAAGCCTGATATGCAAGCAAATTCGTCCCATCAATGCCATTCCACTCTACTTCATCGCAGAACGCTCAAATTTGTTTGAGACGATTCAAACTTCAGCCGACTACGTCATTATCATGTGCTTAGTCGCTCAAAGAGCACACGGAAAGGGATTTCCCCCCAAAATGGCGAAGTGATCGATCAAAAATTTGAATTTGCCGAGATGAGAATACGGCACGCGATATCTCTGGGGTCCGACATCGTAACTCTTCGGCGATTGTTACATTGGATAGCTTGGAGTTTCTGCTACCAAATAGACCTTTCGATTGTTGAATTCGCACAAGAAATGATGGAGTTACGAAGGTATTACTGGCCTATAGAGTTTCGATCATATATGATCGAAAGTCTGCAGGCCGGTAATAAAGGGTTAAGAGCAGGTGGTCGCTAAACCCAGAGGTCGCTTACACCAGGTGTCACTGTACTCGGAAAGTGCAGTCGACTCCATTTATAGCTAACTCCCACACAGCGAATTCCGTAATATAGCGAACCATGGTCCATGTCCCTGTTTGAACCCATACAAAACCGTCCCTTCGTAGCGAACAGTTCTCGTTTAGAACAAACCATATCTTGTAGGTTCGCATGTAAACCAAGTGCAATCATACTGTCACGAGCCACATGCCAGGCATGACGTGATGCTTGTATGGTGCGAGTGCAGTTCGGGTACAAAGAACTTCGGCTAAAAAGAAACGCACCCGTACCAGTCGCCTTTGGGGCCGGGCCGATTAATACACACTCGCACATGGCATTGCTGGACTGGGTCGCGTTCAGGAACAGCAAGTCAAGGCCACAGTCTCGTAGAACTACCACATCTGGGTTCGAAACGCACATCATTTCAGACCCCATGGTCTTGTATCATCTCCGGAGCTCCCTAGATGCTCCCTCATTGCACTCCAATAAAAAGAATAAAACAGGAAAAAGTAAAGAGTCGACGAGTAGACAAAAAATTGCAATGAATAAGATAAAGTGTGCAGTCCTGCATCTACTAGTACAAACATCATCAAGGTATTGGATATCATCAAGGTGCCCACTTTATTTTATTCATTCCCGTAGCTATGCAGAAGACGTTACTTCAGTAACGTCTGGCGCTAGCCAGGGTCCACACAGCTTTAATTTGGTGTTTGTTTGTGTGTTTGTGTCACGCCTGGCGCTATCCCATATCTGTCCCGTACCGTACCGTCAAACACAGCTGGCCACATACAGCTGGCCGCAATATTCAAATAGGGCTTTCAAACGCAAGATCATAACGTGAAGCAACTTAGAAGAATGAGTATGAATGCGAAGTGTATGGGGGAATGCATGTAGGGCAATAGTTCGGGTTCGAATCCCAGGTAATGCCTGAAAAAAATAGGAGAATTGAAACATTTATAACATTCCTTTTCTTTTTTTGCCGTCATCAAGGCGGTAGACGGTGTCGTATTACCCTCGACCGTACCTATCCCGTACCGTTCCATACAATCAAAGACTGGCCACAATGCATATTCAAAATTAATAGGGCTTTCAAATACAATATCATAACATGAAGCAACTTGGTAGAATTAGTATGTATGCGAAATGTATGGGGGGATGCATGCAGGGCGATAGTGCGGGTTTGAATCCCAGGTTATGTCCAAAAACAAAAAGTAGAAACTTATAAGAATTTATAACATCCCTTTGCTTTTTTGTCTTGGTCATCAAGGCAAAAAAGCATAGCGTAGGGCCCTGAGCTTCCAAGCTCTCTCGTTGCAACTTTAAAAACTAAGGACACACGATGAAAATGGTCATTGCAAAGCAATATTAAATCTACACCGTACAAAGCGCAATACAAAAAATCCACCGAAAATACATAGGAAAAGGATTCTTACATTTTGAATAGTTCCTCTTCATCCTCCTCCAGAGTTTTCACCTCGACCTCCGGCAAGCGGACTACGGGTGTGAAATCCACATTGGGACTTTCCGCCACTTGATCCTCCTATACAGTGCACGAATCCACAGGGACGAACGTACAAAAGTACAAGATCAGACGAACAAAAAATCAATACACGATGGGCAAAAAAAGTTTGCACTGAGAATCTAGAAATGACGACTACAGAGACTCCTACTAGTCCTTCAAGTAACAGTTTCTTTTCCTTATCCGAAGGGTAAAATACTGAAGCGCAAAACTGAGCTTCCGGAAACACATTTCTGCTACTTCCATAAGGGTATACCTTGCAGTGCGACAAGGTTCGTAGTCATAGGGCTTCACAAGAACAATAAAATTGGAGAGTAATGTATTGGCAAAGAGAAAGGCAGCGAACTCACTCCTTCCGCAGCGCTCATCGTTGTTCCTGATTCAAGGCTCTCTTATGTCGTGCGAATGCACCAGATATCAACAGCTTATTTCTGGAGAACTACAGCAAACGAGTGGAAACCCCTCGCTCTCTCGAAAGGCTCACCACACTCGATTGAAAGAGCTGAAAGAGGATCGATATTTTTTTGAAAGAGAAAAACAAAAAACAACATGCACCCGCGAAAAATGGCGCGATACACGAGTATGTGGTGGTGGTCGTGACGCGAGCACTCACAAACAGAGCGTGTGGATCGTGCACACCGCAAGCAGTCACCACTCACCAGGTCACTGCAGTCTAGCGTCTGTATCGTGGTGCGCGACCAGACTGAACTGATACGGATTATGTACGCTCGCTAGACTTGATCTACTTCCAACTCTGATACCGGTAGATCTATAGTACGAGTAGACCTACTCATCTCACCTCTGCGCTTGTGCTTGTACTTGGCGTGCAGACAGTCATCGCAGAAAAAATCACTTGAGGACTTGTTCGTTGAGTTGACCTTCTCTCTCTTGCTACTTCTCAACGTTACCTTGGTCGTCTGGCTGAAGAAGTAAAAGACTTAGTGATGATTGTGACTCGACTTTCACTCCTCAGCTAGCTCAGAGGAGCAGGGGCGCGAAGTGCAACCTAACCAGTTTGAACCAGAAAAGCGAAACCGGTGTCCACCGGTGCACGAGAGTAGATATTTGTCTACTACCTGATTGTAGTGTATTTGTCCGGATAAACGCCTTGCATAGCGCTCTCGAGATCTCGTACTCGCAGTCGTACATGTCGAGAGGGCAAGCAGCCCATCACTCTTGTTTTGACCAGGGAGCCCTTACAGTTACACATGTGTGTAGGGCTCCCTGGTTTTGACAGCTTTCCAATACTCGGTAGTAATCATAACTCCCCCGCTTGGCTTTCAGAATGAAAATCACCACAGACTGCCTACCCGACTGTTATCATTGCCGTTACTGAGCTTGGAGCCCGACTCGACTGCTGACTTTATGCTTGTCCTAGCGGAGTAGCGGTGGCCACGTTTGGTAGGTTGCTCTCTAGCTCTGTTGAAGCGCTTGGTACATTTTTGTAAATTTATTTTTCCCCGGTACATGGTATCTTTCGTGCTCGCCAGTACAGTGTCCTTCCCCCTTCACAATCATGAGTGCCATGGCCAGTGTTGTCGGGTTTGGAATTCTGCCCTGACACGAGACAGTGGGATTGGCTGTGAACAAGGATCGCTCGTGGATCACCGCTAAGAATGCAGGCTGTGCCGCTACGTCGCGCTAGTAGATCTACTAGCAGTGGGACAAGTCCTTCGAGTCAAAGGGCACAGCTACCGCAACACCTGCAGCAGCCTCGGACAGGAGGAGCCCTGCAAACTGAAGGTGGCACGTTGGTGGCTGAGAAAGCTAAACTGTGGGTACGAGCCGAGCCGTTCGACTTCGCAGTGGTTCAGAGTCCACCGCCACAACGGCTCACGTATCAGGTACGCAAACGCATGAACAGTTTATTTTGAGATCCCATGTGACGATTGTGAGTGTGCTGAAATAATTCAACAAATCATCGTGTACATTGTAATGGCTATGTTGTTTTGAGGGAATTACTTCTCATAAAAATAATAATATTTTGATTTAGAAAAATAGTCAAACCGCATGAGCTCGACCGTGTGCGTGCCACAAAAAAAAGTGCATTCACGCCCACCTGTCAGGGTTTCAGCCAGCTTGAGATTTTAAAATGATGAGTGGCTGAGAGCGTTTGTGCATCACCGTTCTACGAGTATGCCGCATCACTCCACGGGGGTGAATTTTTAGTTTTCAAAGTGCGGCTTACACTCCGGAACAAGACGGCAGCCATTTCTTGGCATATCCGCTGTACACATATTGGCTTACTAGTACTACTGTAGCAATTCTTTTGTTCATGTCATAACTTCACTCTTTTAAAAGTCACCCAATGTTACTAGCATACACGGTGCACCATGACTCGGCCACGGCAAGCCGGGGCTACATGTGTTTAACGGTAGGTATGATTGTGTGTGCATGTGTGTTTGTATACTTGTGTGTGTGTGTGTATGTATGTGTGTATGTGTGTGTGTGCGTGTGTGCGTGTGTGCGGGTGTGTGTGTGTGTGTGTGTGTGCGCGCGCGCGTTTGTATACTTGTGTTTGTGTGTGTATGTGTGCGTGCGCTTGTGCATGTGTGTGCGTACATTCTCTTGGTCTGATGACTGTCGCTGTGCACTGATCATGCAGGCTATACGCAAACTGTGTGTAGCAGTGCGTACCAAGTCCCACGAATCCCAGTCGGATTGGCTAAGGTTTGTACTGTAATTAGATTCCAGGTGTCTTGGGCCATGTATGATTAGACCATCTGTGGAGTCCATGACAACTCATGGATTCCATAGCTCGAACGTGGGGTGAGAGAATAAACTGTTTTTGCCGGGGAAACCTTTTAAAAATTGCCTGGTAAACTCAATGCACTACATCATAACAGTGTACGATAGGAGATTGAAACATTTAGTTACAAAATCTGGAGACTTTCTTTTCTTTTAGCGCAGAGTTAACTCTCGTGTTACCTTCTCCGTAAGGTGGCCGATGACTTCCATTCCATCACCGATGCATTTCGTGAACCAACAAGCGAAGCTTGTTTTGTATGTAAGCAAACCGTCATCACTCCTGTTGCTGGAGCCGATAGCAGAGGCACTGTATAATTATGATGTATGCCTATGGCACATAATTATACCTGCATTCCAGCAACATCTGATTGGCGAATCATGCACTGATGCAGGCTGACAAGCATCTGCCCAGGATCATGCTTCAGCATTAGCAGCAGAATGCCTGACTTACCAGCTGCCCTGCTTATAATGAGTCTACAGTCCATTTCAAAACTACAGACGCGTACCTAGGCAAAAACTGTTCTGCCAGCATCTATACCACATACAATCTGTGATCACTTTGTGCATACAATTTTTCCAAATTGGGCGTCTGTTATCCAATCGTTTAGAAACTATTATGAGAGTAATTGTGGAGCGGACCTGAGCAATATTCCGAAAACTATTCTCAAAAAGCTCCAGCCAAATTTGAAATATTTCAAAAAACCCACGCGTCTATAGTTTTGAAATGGACTGTACAAATGACTCGATGTTAGTCCTCTAGCTGCGTAGCTCCTCTGCAATCGCGTGCTGCTCAAGACGTCCGAACACCCTGGATTTGAACTCACTGGCAATACTGAGACGTTCTTAGAAATGCTGGTGCCAACTTGTGCACTGGCACAACGGAAGAACAGCGCACATTGCCTTTTGCGTTTTCCTTGTTTCAATTTAGCATTTTCCTTGGCTCACCATCTGAGTACTTATTGCCTTTTGCCATCAAAGATATCATGACTGGTCTAAAGTACTTGGTTTGCAGCAATGTAGAGTGCATAGAGAAAACGAAGGCATATGGTGCATACCATTCAGTGTACCGCAGGTCTAGCTAACCAAACATGAATCAAGAATTGATCACTCCAGCAATGAAGCATGCTGCTGAAATGTTTCTGCATTTTGTGTCCTCCCAGGCTGACTTCAGCGGGGCTGTTGACCTGTGTGTGTGTGTGTGTATGTGTGTGTGTGTGTGTGTGTGTGTGTGTCTGTGTCTGTGTGAGTGTGTGTGTATGTCCTCTGTTTGTAGTTTCCCGCTGTGGAGAAGTTTCGTCATTAACAAGTTGCAAGTTGCCGAAGAATTGGCTTGGGCGTACGTTTTTGTCAGTAAAGATTGACCTATATTTTATCATTCACGAGTTATTGGTTGTCGATGGTACGTGTGCAACACCGGTGCCCCGGCTTACTGAACAAGGTCAGCACCTCTGATATGGCCTGCTTGAAGATGTAGGTAGAGACTGATTTCTGGTGGCTCAGTAGAATACGACAGGACAAGAGGCACAGTGTGATTCGGTACACAATCATCTCGTGTTCGTCCAGCACTTGACTTGATAGATTACAGGACAACACCTTCGCTAGACCATACATTGCTCAGCGACCAGAACGTTTCGTTCGGCCACAGTGACTACTATAATATGTTTAAAATTATCTGTGAATGCCGCATCCTCCCTACTGTGTGCACCAGAACGTCCATCTGACATAGCCGGTGTGAGATTAACAAGAAACTTGTGTTTGACTCGTGTTCAATCTTCTTTAGTTAACACCCCGATTCCACAACGTATATTCATACGGTTGATAGTCTTGATGATGTCACACTGATCACGTGTTGATGATGTCGCACTAATTACTCGTGATGCGACTGTTGTTACTGATGATATCACTCCAATCACTTGTGATGAAATTGTTCTCGTTCATGATGTCACACTTATCATTCATGGCATGATGATGATGTCACATGTATTTCTGTGTGTTTTGGCTGCACTCCAGGTACTTTGAATCATTCCACACACTGACGGAAGCACACAGCGCTGGCCTTGCAAAGCTGACGGACCAGTTTGCGGAGTGCAAGAGTGAAGATGAAAAGGGTATGTTACGTCCTCCTGCAGTCCTTAAATACACGTTATCTTAGTTGACTGGTGTGCCACCTGCATCTGTGCCTTGAACCTTGAGGGTGGTGGTGTTTCTACGGATGCGGAAACTCAGTCTAACCGAGTCTCACATGAACCGTGACTGTTTTTGACTGGTTGACTGTGGCGTTGAAGCTGTGGTCGTTTTTATGTCGACTATCACCATGGCTGCAATTGTTGTAGTACGTTAAATGACGAACCAGCCAGTTAGAAGAGTTGTGACAAACAGAAATCTCTTGTTGGTCATGTATATACAAGATCAGTACACTATTCGGTGTACGATAATAGTCAGGTAGGGTGTGAGGTTGCTACACAGCTACCTGTACCGTTTCCATTCAAGACGCAAGTGGTATCATGCTTTCATCAATACAGTCATACATGTGATGCTTGAAAGAACAGGTAACTGGGATACGAAATACGACATACGACATGTTTCTGTACCAAAAAGGGAAATATTTGGAATCTCATTTTCAGTCTTCTCATGTTTTTATGCATATCCTTTCCTTGTTTATGTGTGTGTATGTGCTCGCGCGTGTGCGGGTACATGTTTGTGTATACGTGTGTGTGTGTGTGCATGTGTACGTGTGCATCTATTTGTGCATGTTTGCTCATGCGTGTGCGTTCCTGCATGCGTGTGCGGATGTGCGCCGTCTTGCCATGTCGATATTCCTGGTTGGTGTGTGCAGAGGCACTTCGACGGCAGACCAAGGTGTTCCTGCCAAAGTTTGTCCTTTTCTTGGTACTCCAAACATCAGCTCACATGTCATCGCTACGGTCATTGTCAGCGCAGGATGTGTGGCCTTGTATCCATACAAAGCTCTGATTATGTTTGCAGATTTCCGGGCCAGAGCGGCAATAATGCACCCTGGAACTCCCTCTATTCATACTCCCCTGATCTCAGTGGATTGTTGCACCAACTGCAGACAGTCTCCGTCACACGCAGTATACTGAGTTAGTGCCGTGTTGTCAGTATTCTATGTGTGGTTCCCAGGTGTAAAAAATACTCTTGACCCCAGTCCGAGTGAAAAGATCAAGCAAACCGGATGTGGAAAAAATTGACGCTGTCGCGCTACTGTACTGTAAATCTCTTTTCCTTGACTGCACGCTATTTGACGACCGTTGCGTTGTGCAGAGGAAGTCGTGGACCACCAGTACCATCAGCTGTTCCTAAAGTAAGTTTATATGTTGCTTGTAGTCAGCACTCTATCAAGTATTCCTGTTCAGGAAGCTGTGTGAGACTACGAGCCCTGGGTAAAATGTAGATGGTGTGTGTGTGTGCGCGCACATCCAGGGCGATATGCTTGTCTTTTTGCACACCTGAAAATGTCCAGTGGTCCATGCATGCACGGTGAGTTCCTGCAGTTGCTAATGGATGCGCACGTGCGATGTGTAATGTTCAGGTTACGGAGGAATATCTGCACACCCAGTTCATCAAGAAGGAGTTGCCACAGCTGCTTTCTCTGTTGTTAGCACCAGGTAGGTTGTATTCAGTTTTCTGTTCCTTCCACCTATCTGTCTCTCTCCCTCCACCTACTCCACCTACTTATCTGTGCCTGTCCCCCCCCCCCCCCCCTCCTTCCCTCTCTTTCTCTGCCTCCCTCTCTTTCTCTTTCTGCCTGTATTTATCTTTCCATCGGTCTCTCTGTCTCTTTCTCCCTATCTGTCTCTTCCCCCCCCCCCACTCCGCCAGTTCTCACTCTTTCCTTCTCTTGCTCTTTTCTCGTTTCTGTCTATTTCTCCTTCTTTCTCTTTCCCCCTCTTTCTCTCTGTCTTCTCTCTTTCTCTCTCACCCTGTCCGTCCCTGCAGCTAATCTAGACCCAGGAACATGGTCGTCATTGCTCATTCACTCTGTTCTTCTCACTTGCCGTGACATCCATGTGTGTACTATGTGCTTGTCCATGATCACATGTCCATGATTGTTTGCCATGCGTGCAAGTGCATGTGCATGTGTGTGTGTGTGTGTGTGTGTGTGTGTTCCTGCGTGTTTGTCTGTGTATAATACTATCGGTGTGTGTGTATGATTGTGTTTGTTTGTGTTTTATGCCGTGTGTGTGTGTGTGTGTGTGTGTGAGTGTGTATGTGTGTGTGTGTGTGTGTGTGTGTGTGTGTAAATGTGTGTCCTTTCCGTGACCGTGATTTGTTGACGTTCGGACGACTCTGTCAGAGGCCATGTCTGGCGGAGCAGCTACTCTTGTCGACTCCGTTGTTCCCGAGACATCCGTGGAGGCTATGAGCTTTCTGATGGAGGGCACGTCAGATGACAGGTATGTTCGCAGCAGGGTATGTGTGTGCGTGTTGGAGGGGGGGGGGGGGGGGGGGGTGCCTCGTCAGGCGAAATTACTGGTCAGTCGGCGACACGAATTTTTCACAAAAATTTGCGTTTCACCTGCTGGGAGAGTATGCGTGTACTCGAGTCTCATCCTGAGCACGTTTTTTTCTTCTTTTTTTCAGCTCCAGTATAGCTGTATTTTTCATTGCAAAGCCGTCCTCGATTGTTGTGTTCGTTGTTCAAACGAAGTGGGCATTCAATCATGAAGGCAGAGGACATAGGAGCCTGATTGGAGTTTCTCGTGGCATAGGACGGCCACACAGAGACACTTTGGGATTTTCTGAATATAAAATACCGTACGCACGATGCTGAGATCAATTTGTGCGATATCAAATTGTTTGTGGTCTACCACATCGAGCAGACCGGGATCCGAACACAAGCTTACCGACGGTTAGGCTACCGACCTGACTGGACAAATGATCCCTGGCTTCACCAGACGCCAGAAGTCGGATACCATGTCCTTTGCCGCGTTGTCCATCTCCAAAAAGAACTCCATCTTCGTCGTGAAAAGGCTTGAAATACTCAATATTCAACCGAGATTCGCGGTCTCACCCTTTCTCAGATCGAATCATTTTTTGTTGTAGCAGTTGCAGGGCAGATCCCCGCCACTACTTCAACAGGCGATGGCTCCAAAGCAGGCCTGGAACAAGCCATATCGAGGTTGCAAGCCACCCCTCTCAGCAAAAAATTCGAAGAAATTCGAAATTTCAATGGTGGAAGATACACTATGAAGAGAATTTCAAAAAGTATGTTTCGCGGAGCGATCGCTCAACCTACGTCATTCAAACTTTGCAGGATGGTTCAGACGTACATGCTAGGCATGGAACCACAGGCGATGATGCCATAGCTGACACATAGAGTAACACACACAGCAGATTCGTGTGCACAGATACTAAATTAGTGGACGTCGTCATCTTCTTCCCGCTGATCTCGAATGTACTATGACGTGCTAATTCGCCTGACGTTTCGATGAGTGTGTACATGGCACATGGTGTGCGTGGGTGGGTGCGTGCGTGCATGTGCATGAGCATGGCTGATTGTTGACTGATTGCTGACGTATCTGTGTTACATGATGCACCTTTCGACCCGGTGTATGTGTGTGTGTGTGTGTGTGTGTGTGTGTGTGTGTGTGTGTGTGTGTGTGTCTGTTCAGACGAATCCTGCCTGTTGCAGATCTAGCACGTCTGCAGACACAAACAACCGAGAGTGGCTACTCCAAGGTCAGTATGGATACTGCACACTGCCTACATTACACAGCACAGTCCCTACATTATACTGCAGTGTACAGTAAGATCGGGCGCCGAAGAACACCTCGCCGAAGAACGCCCAGGCTGGAAAACCGGCAAAATTTAAGAACAGTCCAGGCTAGAATTATCGGATTTAAGAACACTAGATCTACATTGTACGTAGATCTACATTGAATATGTATGGGAGGTGAGTACATGTCATGTACACGTGTAAACAGTAACTGCTACATGTACAGTCATTCCCATTTACGACACCCACTACGGCACTAGTAATAAGTACAGTCGTCCCTCTCTAATCCAGCACTTTATAATCCAGCACCCTCGATAAACCAGCACAATTTTCAGTAGCCAAAATGTCCTCTTCATGTACATTGCAGCAGTAAATCAGATTTGTTAATCCAGCACCCTCCCTAATCCAGCAGATTTTCGTGGCACAAATGGTGCCGGATTATAGAGGGACCAATGTACTACATTGCACTACACAATCATGTACATGTACATGACAAACGTCATGACGTCACTCGACTCGCCGCGCGCGTGTGAATAAGAATAAGAACCAGGGAGTCGGATTTTACGACTCCCTGATAAGAACGGTCTGGCTAGAATCAAAAATTTAAGAACTTTCCTAGGCTGCGCTCGAGCCCCTGCGTTCTTCGGCGCCCGATCTTACTGTACCTGCATTATACTATACTCTGCATACACAACACGCTACTGGCCAATTTTGCTCTCAGTTCTGTACATCACTCACATGCTTGTGATCACATTGAGTTCCCAGTTACTTACAGTGTTTTCTTCCTGGGCATGCTGTAATCTGTGTCATGGGATAGTGAGAACCCCCCTCCCCCCACCCCCAGGGGTACTGAGACCCTTCCCAGCTTGGGGCACACCCCTCCCTTCTTGGGTAGTGGTACCCATTCCTGGCGGGTCCTCTCTTTTTTTGGGGTAGTGGCACCCATCCCTGGGGGTAGTGAGAGCCTTCCTCGATATGTGCATCTCTCTTTCTCTTCTCTATTCCGTCTTTTCCTGGGTAATACGTTATGGTTGCGATGGTTATTGAGTCTTTGTTTCCGTGGTTTTTATGACCTGGTCATTAGGGTACTGAGACCGGGATCATTAGGGTACTTAGATCCGGTCTTTTGGGGGTACTTAGACCTTGCCCTTGGGGTACAGTGTTGGCCTCTCCCCATTGACATTTAGCCTCTCTTTCCATGGATAGTATTAGGTCTCTGGATCACAACCAGGCCTGGTTTGCGGGACAACTGGCTCAAGCATTTCAGCTTTTCCTGCATTGTCCAACACATCCATTTTGTGTTGCTATGTGGCTTGTGACATTGTTTAGATAACTCGCACATTCTCGCTGGCCAAGCTGCAAGCGTGGATCTTCTCTCTGCTCAGCACAAATCCGTTTGGCGTGGACATGTGCATCGCTAAGCGGCGTCACACTCCATCCGTCGTCGCGCCAACCCTGCCTCCAGTGCATGTCCAGCCTCTGTTGATCGGCAAGACTGCATCCAACCGGGTGTATGCACCGGAGAGGTATGTACATGTAGTAATATGAACTGTGTTTTACACAGTTTAAGCCACACTGGAGTATAAGCCACACTGGAGTATAAGCCACACTGGAGTATAAGCCACACTGGAGTATAAGCCACACTGGAGTATAAGCCACACTGGAGTATAAGCCACACTGGAGTATAAGCCACACTGGAGTATAAGCCACACTGGAGTATAAGCCACACTGGAGTATAAGCCACACTGGAGTATAAGCCACACTGGAGTATAAGCCACACTGGAGTATAAGCCACACTGGAGTATAAGCCACACTGGAGTATAAGCCACACTGGAGTATAAGCCACACTGGAGTATAAGCCACACTGGAGTATAAGCCACACTGGAGTATAAGCCACACTGGAGTATAAGCCACACTGGAGTATAAGCCACACTGGAGTATAAGCCACACTGGAGTATAAGCCACACTGGAGTATAAGCCACACTGGAGTATAAGCCACACTGGAGTATAAGCCACACTGGAGTATAAGCCACACTGGAGTATAAGCCACACTGGAGTATAAGCCACACTGGAGTATAAGCCACACTGGAGTATAAGCCACACTGGAGTATAAGCCACACTGGAGTATAAGCCACACTGGAGTATAAGCCACACTGGAGTATAAGTCGCACTGGAGCACAAGCCACACTGGAGTACAAGCCGCACTGGAGGATAAGCCGCACTCCCCCCCCCCCCCATTGTTTGCCACGAAATACAGACATCTACCCTTTTTATCATCGTTAATTTGATCATCGGAGTGTAGGCAGTACCCCATTCTTTTGGGTGAGTTTCGAATGTTGAAAGTGCCGCATATTCTCCGGAAATACAGTACACCCGGAAACGACATACTTGTAGATCATTTCTCTGACGCGCGTGGATGCAGCGAATGGGATTTTCGGTCTTTGACTCCGCTGTGCTGGTGGCTCTGATCTGCTCACCCCCTCCTCCCCCCCCCCCCCACACACCTCTTTAGGCGCTGCATCTGCGCAGCTTGATCGCCGGGGGTGGTGGTGGTTCTGATCTGCCCCCCCCCCCCCCACCGCTTTAGGAGTTGCATCTGGGCGGCTTGATCCTCGTGGTGTTCCTACGGATGCAGAAAACTCGGTGTTACCGCGTCTCAACGCGAACCGCGGTGTTTTGCCGCTCTGAGCTGATCCAATGTTACGTTTGACGCTCTGACTCATTGTGCCTTGTCGAATGAATACCATTACATCAGTGACATATTGTGTGTGTGTGTGTGTGTGTGTGTGTGTGTGTGTGTGTGTCTGAATGTATGTGCATGTGTGTGTGTGTGTGTGTGTGTGTGTGTGTGTGTGTGTGTGTGTGTGTGTGTGCATGTGTATACTTGCCTACCCGTGTACGTATACACCACAGTCGTAGTTTGGTTCTATTCAGTCAAGTCACCGGGCAGACATTGGTTCGGGACGCTGGCGACATTGGTGGCAGCGGTATTCTCATCAAGCGATGTCATAACTCCACCATATACTTACTGGCACCAATACGGTACGATGACTACATTGTTAATACTTTATATTACCCCACCAGCTTTGTGTGCTCATCACCTCCCTCCCTCACCCCCCCCCCCTTGCCCCTCGCCCTCCCCCTCCCCTTACTCCCTTCTCCCCATACAGAAGTCATGATCTTCTCTTATTCCAGTGCAGTGCTATTCACCTTGTGTAGAGTAGTGCCGGACTGGTCCACCTTCCCACCCCCCCCCCCCCACCCCCATCAGTCAGGATGATGATGGCCAGTCCAGGTTGTGAATTATACTGAATGGCATTTTGTTATTTTGGCAAGGCTCTTGTCCTCTTTCCCTGAGTGGTTGTTAGCAGGGCCTAGCTAGGGCTGTGTTTGCTAGCAAAAAGAGAGTAACTTGGAGTGATACTGTTGTGATTACGAATAACATAGTAGACTACGGTATGTATGTGAAGATAACAATTCACTTATAGCAATGCAAAGGGTAAACTGCACACTCCTATCCTACACACACGTCAAGGAGTGCGTTCTTGCAACACTTACCCACCTTCGTTGCCTTCATGTGTGTATAGAATATGAGTCGGCAGTTTACCCTTTTCATTGCCATAATTAAACTGTTGTGAGTTTTCATATGAGTTTGTCTGCCGCTGCGTCTATTTCTGTTGTTTTGTTTGTAGGTTTGTCCGTGTGGAGCGGTGTAACAACACGGTCTTAGTTCTGGGTGCGGTACAGCAGTTTGTTAAGCTGTGCCACTGCCGAAACGTTCGAGTGTACACCGTTACACGGCAGCTACATGTCAGGTATGCTGTGTAATGTGTGTGGGTTCGATTCCCGACGATTATGGTCACACACGTCTTTCTTCTCTTTCTCAGACTGTGTTTACATGAAGCGTTTCAACCCGGGTTGAGTTCGACCCGGGTCAGATTTCAACCCGCCTTGTGCACAAAATGAATGGCGCGTTTACAGGACGCATTGCGCTTGACCCGGGTTGAAATTTCGCCCCGGGTTGATTTCAACCCTCCCCCCCCCCCAAGGGGAGGGTTGAAATCAACCCGGGTCAAGAAAATCGTACAAACGTACTTCTGTGCGTATCTCGCGCCAGGTTTGAACGGCACTGCACATGCAAATTTCGCGCGAACAGATTCACGTGACTATACGGAACTGTAGATTCGTGTAGAAGTGGACTTTTGGCGGCATATCAGTATTTGACCCGGGTCAACTGTCTTCATGTAAACGCTCACCTCTTTTGTCTATCGTACAGACTTTCAACCCGGGCTGAACTCGACCCGGGTTGAAATTTCTCATGTAAACACAGCCTTAGACTCTTCCTGACTTTTCTTTCATTCTCCTGGGTGGTTACCAACAGCCAGTGCATGCCGGAGTATGTGGTGTGATGTGTGTGCGGGAAAAAAATGAAAAAGACCAAAAATAGGGATTCACTGGCCAGAAAAAGTCACTTCAAAATAGCTGTATGGTGTAGACCAGGCTGAATAGTGACGGTCAATTCTTCAGCCTTGCAAGCTGTTGAATGGTGCAATCCCAGCACAAGTTGCTATGGCTTCTGCCGTAGCATTGCTATCATCGCCTCCGGCGATGGGCGTCAAAGGTCGGGTGTGTGTGTTTGGGCATCATGCATTCAAAGTAGCCTGCATGTGATGAGTGTTCACGGAACGGTATTATAACCAATATGTTTCAGACTTTTCAAGCGACACTACCCACAGCATCAGCATTGTAACTGGTCATCGTGTTTCTGCTGCACAATTACTGCTCACACACCACCGTATACATGTGTTTCTGTTGCACAGTGACTGCTCAGACACCACCATATACATGTGTTTGTGTTGCACAGTGACTGCTCAGACACTCCCATATACATGTGTTTGTGTTGCACAGTGACTGCTCAGACACCACCATATACGCGTGCACATCCAACCGTCCACTGCTGCTCTACGGCAACAGCAACCTTACGCTGGCACCGTACGGGACAGCCTACGACAACTTGACTGCTGACATGACCACGACGGGTCTGCGTGTCACTCCCAACGTCTGGGACCAGCCGCTGTGCACGGGCACGACGGCTGCGACTGCTGCAGTCAAACGCAGCAGTTCATCATCAAGTGGAAACGGTACGTACTCATACTGCACTCGTGTTGAGAGATTAGATATTGAGGCCGTAGCACCGGGATCCCAGGTAGTCCGGTGGAGTGTCTACCAAGTACTGTATTTTCTGGAGTACATGAAGATAAGCCGCACTTTTCACACTCGTTATTCATCCAACAAAAGTCTGTGCGGCTTTTACTACGATGGTCGAATGAACCGTGAAATACAGGGCACATGCCTGTATTTTGTGCCAAACAATCTGGATGCGGCTTGGATTCCAGTGCTGGGTCTCGTACTCCATAAAATATGGTACAGTCAACTTCACGTATAACGACTTCGGGCATATAACGACTATTCGCGAATAACGACAGAATTTCCATGCCCAGAGCAAAGTCCCATCTAACTGTAGTACATATAATCATCGGAGACTTCGGGTATAAGGACACTTCGCGAATAAGGACACTTTTCTGATGCCCCGCCGAGTGTCGTTATACGCAAAGTTGACTGTACATCGGATATTGGATATGATTGAGAACTGGCAGGTCATGGGAGAAGTAGCGTGCATTCTTGATGCTAGCTTTCATTTTCCAGTAGCCAAGTGCTCGCTTATCAGTGACGAGGCTTGCTCGGAAGCAATGTTGAAAAGATGCACTCGCCATTTCACCTCGACTGGTGAGCCATGTAACTTCAATCACCAGATGGTGTGTGATCATTCGTTAGATGGCTTTCAGTAGAATTTCGGAGTAGCAACTACTTGAAAATGGACTTTTTCTTACTGCCTATGCCGCATATGTCCTACATTGTGATTATTTTGGGTTTATGTCAGACCATACCAACTATAAAACTCGAATGTTGAGCCAATAGTATTATGTAAAGAGAAAAGGACCTATAAGTTACTAGTTATGACTAACAGTCCACCAATATCCTTGTCAGTTTTGTGCCTTGTTGTCGCACTATCTGACTGTATAATTATTATCTTGTTACCTTGGTGGACTGTTAATCATAACTAGTAACTTATAGGTCCTTTTCTCTTTCCATATCAACTATCATCATGTCCTGAGATGTTATGAACGGCCACCGTTTTCTATCCTTAGGTCTTGACGTAATTGGAAATGCTGCTGTTGGGTTGCCAGGAGTGGATTTTTGACGGGCGTATAGGCACATTGTGTGTGTGTGTGTGTGTGTGTGTGTGTGTGTGTGTGTGTGTGTGTGTGTGTGTATGTGTGTAGTGTGGTGTGCACGCACGTGTGTGTTTGCTTGTGCATGCATGCATGTGTGGTATTCTAATTTCTCTCTATTTCTGTTGAGAAGAGGCCACCCGGTCGCCGTCTCCAAGCCAGCCGAAGTGCTACAGACTGATGGATCCGGCCGAATACTTTGACTTTTCAATACCATTTGAACAGGCCGGTGAACTGACAAGAGGAAAGGTATGTGATCAAGCCCTGTATGTATATACAGTCATGGCTGGTCAAAGAAACCTGACCCACGATTCAAGAGCAGTTCGTGTTTCCGTTTCTATTACATCATGCACGGTCCGAAAACTCATTGGATGGTTGCAGGAGCTGTCTTGCTGCTTTCGGCTCTCGGGTCGATTTTTTAATCACCTGGTTTTTTCATGTCCACGACAGTAGATAGACTATTCATAAACTGCAACAGTGCAATCACGTCCTTCCTTGCCGTTACTCAGGGGTTTGTTTCCGGAAAAACCCCGATCAGAAGTAAATAGAAATTGCTCTTCACTTGTCTACAGCAAACCTGGTTGCAGGGAACATGTGATGTCCATTTCATTCCGATCTGGGTTTCGCTTGCCACCGCTTACATTTGGGTTAAGTTGTACGAACTTGTGTGTGTGTGTGTGTGTGTGTGTCTGTTGCGTACGTGCGTGTGTGTCTGTGCCCGGTGTATGTGTCTGTTTTCAGCTAAGACCGGGGCTACAGTATCCCATTCCATTGCCTATGGCATTCAAGCAGGCAAAGGCTGCAAGGCAGAGGTCTGTGGTTTAGTTGTATTGTTATCACTCCATGCGGTCGTATGGCAGTTTGCTAAGTCTCCTTGTGTGTGTTTCTAGGCTCATTTAGTTTGTGAGTTTCGAAGTCTGAAGAAAATGTTGATCGGTCTCTGCTAGGATGACAGCTACACCATAGCTCAGCGGTTAGAGCATCGCTGGCCGCATGCGAGGGTCCCTGGTGGTGACAGTCAGTTTTATTCTTCTGATTTTTCCGTTTTGCATATTTCCCTCAAACCAATCAATGAATATTTAAATAATTCAGTGTCACATGTACACAGATCTCTTTGTGATGTGTATCTATATTCATTACGTCATATTTGTATTGCATGCATGCACAGTCGCACACGGATTAGTGGAATGTGCTTCTTCCTTGGTTTTCTCATATCATGACATGTTTTGTTTCCATTCCCAAGTCTTCACGATTATATAGTACCGTATCACTTTGCACCCCTCACTCTGATCATCCACATCTCATTCTGTGCCTGGCATGCAGGTCCATCTTGGAAGCCACGAAGAGTATTCGCCGTGGTCTGGAAGGTGTATCACAAGAAAGGAGTACCGCTTATGTACAGGCATCTAAAGAAATCTTCACGGTAAGTGAAGGTTAACTAGTGACTAGAGAGGTTAAGATGCACGTTATTTCTGACGTGACGCGAAAGTTCAGCTCGCGTTATTTGGCTCACGTCAGAAATAATGTGCATCCTTTAAAACCTCTACTGTCTACATCCGAAGAGGTGGAATGCAAACCCCGCTAAATCCATTTCATCACTTTTCGGATATTATAAATGGCCAAAAATAGATGCATTTTCATGGGCAGTTTGCACATAAAATTGTAAATGGTTGGCTATCACCCCTCCACGCCGTGGTTGGCTATCACCCCTCTCTCGCACTTTGCGTGCCAATTGGTCATGAACCACGAGTTGAGTGAAATAAATAAAAATAAATAAATAATTAAATCCATATTTGTGTTCTATTTTTTAACTGGCTATAAGTAGTCAGATTTCGAAAGTGAAATTTTGCCTGGTGGTGCCCCTAGACCCTTTGATTTCATACACTGAGCAACATCTGATTTTCGAAAGTGTGTATGTACATGTATGTGTGAGTGTGTGTGTGTGTGTGTGTGTGTGTGTGTGTGTGTGTGTGTGTGTGTGTGTGTGTGTGTGTGTGTGTGTCTTTATAGGGATTCACTGGCCAGAAAAAGTCACTTCAAAAATAGCTGTATGGTGTAGATCAGGCTGAATAGTGACGGTCAATTCTTCAGCCTTGCAAGCTGTTGAATGGTGCAATCCCAGCACAAATTGCTATGGCTTCTGCTGTAGCATTGCTATCATCGCCTCCGGCGATCGGCGTCAAAGGTCAATGTGTGTATGTGTGAGAGAGAGGGGGGGGGGGGGGGGGAGGTGTATATGCATAGCCTTTGTGGGTAGCTGCGGCGATGCGTTTCCATTCCTCTCACAGAGTGGGCAGTTGCCCAGGAACACTTTTTGTAATGATTCTTATCCTGCATAAATTGACTTCATCATCATGTCTCTCTCTCTCCCTCTCTCCCTCTCTTTATCTATCTTTTGGACATCTATCTCTCTCCACACACACCCACTCTTTCGCTCTCCTCCAGGAGTGGTTGCGAGACAATGGGTATCAGCGAGAGATCGATGCCCTTGGAGCTCTCCAGATGGTTACATCACAGCCTTAAAACACTCTTCTGCTGGCTAGTCATCATGGTAAAGTGACGTCATAATGATGTAATGGTGGCATCATTATGATGTAATGGTGACGTCATTGTGGCGTGTACTGGCAATTGGCCACCAGGCTTTCTGTTATGGAGGAACCCACTCTAGGGGCGTCACAGTGAAGTCATTGTGCCATCATAATGGCAGCACTTCAATGCTTTCTTGGCAAATGATCAGGGTGGGTCATAGCACCAGCTGTGCAAGCGTTGGTCCGGTGAGTCAATGGTATTCCGACGCCTGGCTTGGCGCTGTAGCCGCTTACCAGTAATGATGTGATGATCTATCATCATTACTCGGTGCTCAGTTGCCAGGCCTGTGGGAGTTCCACCGCGCCTGACAACGGGTCGTGTACTTTAGTTCACCGTGCTTGACTTCACATGGTGTGTGGCATGTTTGAGTATTACTCGACTCCATCATGCAGCAGTGGGCGACAAGCACTGCCTGCTCCTGCTACGTTGAGAAGTAGACTATGTTCCTTTGTGCTATACTAACTTAGCGTGTGAATGAGGCATGGCCGTAACACACTCCATGCCAAGACTGTCCCAAGAAATCATTTTCTACTTGTAGGTTTGTCATGTCGCGTCCAGGCTGTGTCTTGTGCAGAGAATAACATTATTTGAGTATTGACACTTCACAACGTGCTAATAATTTGCAGAAAAATTAAGTTATCATCATGTCCAGACTGTTTGGAGAGTGTGGTGAAGATGTATGGGTGTAGTGGATAGCTACAGTGGAGTCTTCGTGCTTTGAGAAATTATGTCCTGAGTCTGGTATACCAGCATTGTACTCAAGCAACCAGCTGAACGAGTGTGTCCTACATCATCGTACCAGGCTGGTGCTCTGCTGCAAACAGCACAGGCCATCCGGAATAGCAATTGTAATTGTAACGTCAGAGCTGACTACTCCAGCCTTCTGCACTAGTCATGCAGCCATTGGAGCTAAAAGCAAAATTCCTGGCTCCGATTTCCCTCTTTGGGTGTGTATTCAATTGTAAACTGTTATGGTGGACTTGGGTAAAACATAGATCCTACATAGGATGTACTGTTTTGGGGTCTCCCAAATGCCCCAAAGGAACAGCCTTTGTCGACACATTTCTGGAGTAAAACTACAATGTACGTATCAACTGGCTGTCAACACGTCTGCTGGCTCAGGTTTTGACAGCATCATGCTGGTGCGACTGGGAGGAACTGTGGTGTAAATAATTTTAAATTATTTAACTGTTGCCTTCATCCTTTAAGGGTGGTGGTGTTCATACGGATGTGGAAAACTCGGCCCGTAGCCGAGTCTGATGCGGACCGTGATTTTTTTGTCTACCACTCGGTCACTGTCTTGCACAAGCTGCAGGCTTGTACTGTGATCCATGCTACAGTTCTACAGCTCAGCATTGCACGCAGCAGTCATGCACACGACTGGTAATGATGTCGAGTTGCTTGAGATCATGAATGTGTATATGAACCTCCACCACGCCGGTAGGCGCTGCATCTGCCACTTGTCTTTGGTATATCAGGCATGGAGGTGGCCTGGCACAAGTGAATCTTCCTGAGCTCATTGTGTTTTATGGACACATTTGGTTAGAGATTATGTGATGACATCATCAGTTGAGATACTTTGCCAAAGTCGTGGCACAGTGATGCACAGTAATGGACTAGTGACTCACTCTGTATACATGTACCATGTATCAGTGGTATACAACACAACTGTAACTAGTATACATAGCATCCATAAGCGCCCATTAAGCGGCTATAATCGTCCATTATCGTCTATAATCGCCCATAAGTGCCCATAAACAGTTCCAGAATTGCGCTGACTCGTTATGTCTTCTTTTGCATAACCTATATACAGATAGAACGTGGACACGAACGTGTGGACTTACTTCTGTTTGAACTGGGTCTGAGGTTGGTGAGGCCAACGGTGTGCATACAAAGTACACTAGGGTATACGACTACTATTAGTACTACCGTAGTATTTACAATGTCCAGAGACATCCAGCATGTACTACTACTAGTACAGTGTTCTATCAGACTCTGAGCAGCACACAACACACTCAAAGCCACACATCCTTTAAAAAATTTGTATCCTGGCCCACAGTCCGCTGTGGTAAATTCCGTTGACCAGTGATCATGCAGGAATACCGAAAGCCAACAGTCAAGAAAGCCCATCGGAGAGAACAATCGCAGCATGTTACATGTACTTCAAGTACGACACAGCTGACACAGCTGGAAATAATCAACACATGCATGGGTGTGCGGTGCTTAAATTTGCCATGATATAAATAGTGATATCGGAGTCAACCGTATGGGAAATATCAACCGGAAACCAAGTGAATTACGATGCAGAGCACTGAGTGCCCAAAATCAATCCGTCAGCGACGAAATATTTAGAAGTGAAAATTGCGTGTGCGAAGGCTAGTGCAGTAGCGGAAGTGAGAACAAAATGGTGGCAAGCCTCCGTCAGAAAGCGTAAAGGCGGATTCCTGCAATGCCGGGCCTCAAGGGGGTGATTAATGTAATGGTGTCATCCTGTGGGGAAATAGTGATAAAGTGATGTCATAGTGATAAAGTGATGTCATATTGATGGTGATACATGCACGCTGCTAATTACGTGAATGCCAGCAGTTTACCATATGTTTGGCACAAAACTCCACATATTGGATGGTAAAAACTTATCCAGAACCAAAATTTCACACCTTTGTTGATGTTCACGGCTTTAAACGTAATTTCGGACCCAAATATGGCAAAAACACATTTTTGGCATATACTCCAGACAGCTGGAACCTGCCATTTCCATCAGGAAACTGAGGACATATTTTCGCCTCTTGGGTTTTTCAAATGTTTGTGGTGTGACCATTGTTTTCAAAAACAATACATTCAAAAATGAATCAAAATGTTGCAAGCACTTTTCATCTCAATCTCTGACAAATACACTCGCATAATGGGGAACCCCTATTGATATACTTATGATCTCAACACATACACACATATTATAGCTTGGCGAACATGAATTTACGTAATCAGGTGCTTTCAAAGTACACGCATCATAGAGGGTAAATGAGGGATGACATTTACAAGTGTGTTGCCAAGGTACGTGATGGTGGGAGAAGCCGCTACAAGAACAGAAAGCATCACTCAGCCTTCGGCCGACCGTTGCTGTCAGCTGCCGTCGGCACTTGACCATTTCTCCCGTTGCTGCTGCCGTTAGCACCATTGCAGCTAGAAGCGTCCGTTGCTGTTGTGTGATTGCCAGGGCTGTCCTTGAACGCTGCTCTCTCCTTCTGCAAGTTCTTGGCGTGTGTCACCATCTCGTCCATGTTTTTATCGCCGAGGTCTCTAGACACGCCACACGGCAGTAGGGAGATGATGGTGGCAAAGAGGCCGTGAAACCAGTATCCAGAGCTGGTGACGGAAACGCCAAACGTGTTCAGTGCCGACGCAACGTACGCTTCCGCCGAAGGCATGAGTAGATCGGGCTTGCTGGCGTCGCGGAGACCACCGGCCATCTTAGTCTGCACGAACGACGGCAGCAGGCACTCGAAGCGTACGCCGTGCTGGGCGTACTCCGACTCCAGGCTGCGCGTCAGGTAGGTGGCGAAGGCCTTGGTGGCGCCGTACGTGGACATGCGCGGGCACACGTTCATGCTGGCAAAGGAGGAGACGGTGATGACGGCCCCGCGACGCCGGCGCTGCATGCCCTCCAGCACGCAGTGTGCTAGCAGGTACAGGGACATCGTGTTGGTCTGCAGCATCTCCACACCCAGCTCCACCGGCATCTCGTGCATCAAACCTGGCAGGTCGTCGCACCGACCGGCGTTGTTCACCAGCACGCCAATGTCCAGGCTTGCCAGCGCCGAGCGCATCTTGCCGTAGTAGTCGAGAGCATCGTCCTTGCTGAAATCTATGCACAGAGTCTTGAACTGGCGCTGCGGATAACGCTCACTCATCTCCTTGTGCAGTGCGGCGAGGCTGTCCTCAGACCGTCCCAGCAGGTAGACGTTGAGGCCGCGCGAGGCAAACGCGCTGACAAACGCCTTCCCCATGCCTCCGGTCGCACCCGTCACAACCGCCCACTGGCCGAAAGCGGAGAAGTCCACATTGTTTGTCAGGATAAAGTTCCGTACGCCGATGGACACATGGTTATAGAGCCTGTAGAGTACCCAGGCTATGGACAACACTCCACACAGTGTGATAAACATGGCTGTCACCTTCTGAATGCACGATGTAAAGCTTTTCACAGATTGCTCTCTACACTGTACAGCTCGTGTGATGTGCTGAGATCCGGAGAGCTGTGAACCCTCTCGCAGTGTACACTGTGAACTGGCACTGTTGCTGCTTCACATGCAGTCTGCTGCAAGGCTGACTGGCTAGTTCTGCTGCTGACAGTGTGTGGCTACCGTGGTCCGCTCTCAACGTATCACCATTCAGCTGTGGTTACTTGCCAGCTGATTTACCTGCAAGGAGAAAAAACACAGAAACACACACACACACACACACACACACACACACACACACACACACACACACACACAGACACACACACACACACACAGTTATAATAGTAATACACATCAGGACCTGAAGCGCCAAACCTCACGTACAGGCAGCACAAACTGTTTCTGGCCTTTGTACAGTACTCTGTACAGGACAAACTTGAAACAAGCTCAAGGCAAGGCAAGGCAAGGCAAGGCTAGGCAAGGCAAGGCAAGGCAAGGCTAGGCTAGGCAAGGCAAGGCACGGCACAGCAAGACAAGGCAAGGCAAGGCAAGGCAAGGCAAGGCTCAGTATCTTAGACTGACGGGTAGCATCGTCTGCAAAATGTAGGTTTACTGTGTATGGCAAACCGTAGTTATTGCTCACAACCCAGCATACAACAGGCCCAAGACACGCGCGTGGAGCTTGGCGCGCACTAATATGGGTGCCTGGCGCTTGGCAGTGTTGGCACGCAATGACAGGTAGCCGTACTACGGGAATCCCAGCTCGCGCCACGAGTACACAGACATGAAAACTGCGCACGGCCAGGAGACACCCACATGCACAGGCATGCAACACTACCCCATACTCGCATTAAATTAAGGTATCAGCGTTAGCTAGCAACGCAATGCTCACCACAAACATTACTCGTGACGTGTCAACTCTATATTAGGAAGCGGATCCTTTTATGGCGCGAAAGGACCCCAGTGTGCGTACTAACTTACTACTAAGCCCAAGCCAAGGTACTGTACTAACAGTCAGGGGTGGATCCAAGACGGGCTCCAGGGGTTCCGCGGAACACCCTGAATTTCGTAAATGTACTACTGGCAACCATATGCGTGTCCATGTACAGTGTACATGTATCAGCTACTAGTACACTGTATTCAGTTTTGACTAAACTGCAACTCCACTGCAGAGATCGCTGGATCCACCGCTGTAACTGAGCGTTTTGTTCTCCCTCACTCCCCTTCTGATGACCCTCAGCTATTTAGTTTTCTGTTCGACTTTCTTTGAAGTTGTGCATTGCACTGTTGAGGCAAAGAACTAAAATAAACAAAACAAAATAAACAAAATACAAATACAAAACATGTGAGGCACAGTGCGGTATACGGTATAGTGGTACTGTGAAAGGACTTGTGCCCAGGTTAGGCAGCTCATACGTACGGCTGAACAAAGCATACCATGTATGGAAGGCCCTGGTTGCAATGGAGGGGGGGGGGTCTACGATAAAGACACCTCCATGCTTATATGGGAGATAAGGCGCGAGAGGGTCTACAATAAAAGACACCAGAGAGGGTCTACCATAAAAGACACCTGAGAGGGTCTACCATAAAAGACACCTCCATGCTTATATGGGAGATATGGCGCGAGAGCCAACCATGCAAGGCGGGCAAGTAGTGGAAGACATGCTCGTGATGGCCACATTGAATAAATAATTACTTTCAGAAAGGCTGACCCTGAAGTGTGCCTGAAACTTCTCTTTTTTCCTCTCTTCCTCAAAAATTCACACTCGGGCTTCTCTGTAAGAAGGCTGTGAACCTGTGGGGATTCCCCTGTTTCATTAAAATTATTGAGCAAACTAACTTTGTAGCAATACTTGGCAAAGCTACTGACGTTTCCTGTTGGTGGTCGGGAACAGCCCAACCCCTCCAGTACTGAGGCTCTAGATCACTGAGTGACATACTAGTACACAGAAAGTTATCCACTGGGAAGCATCAGTCACTGCTACTGCCTGGCTCCAGCAGAGACTGCTCCATTTTTGCCCCCATTGGTTATGCAGACATCAACCACTGTGAACAGACGGTGTTCAAGTGGTTTGGAGGGCCAGTGGCTGGAAGGAAGTAAGTGTTTTCTCTCTCTGTCTTCAAGTCCTCTTCAAGTGGACCACATCTAATTAGGCACGCCTGGCCAAGACTTCATCACCAATGTTTAAGGTTAATGGAGTTCATTAGAATATTCATCACTTGCAGTCATCTAGTGTGCCAGTGGTGCTGCTGGTCAGGTCACAACTGAGTGGACTGAGGGCTGGGCCAGGTACAAGAACACACCCTAGATCAGTATCAACACAAGCAGACGGCCTGACTCACATTCCCTGCTCTCTTCGGTACACAGTAGGTGCAGTAGGTGCAGTCGTGAAGGGCAAGAGGAGCACATGGCACGCGTGTGTCACTGTTTAGGCCGTTTTCGCTCTGTCCTGTGCTTGTACCCGAGCATGCTCTGTGACGGCATACCCCCCCCCCCCATCATAGAATATGTGACCTTGTGTGCTGACTAGCACCAAAAGTGACTAACTCTAGCTGACGTCTTCCTCTAAATCAAATCCAATTACTAGCTGGGCAAGTTAGTGAGCTAATCATCTCAGTTACCACCATGCACTGATAATAATGAGCAGCACATCCCTAAACCACCCACCATCTCTGCAGGGTCACCGTTACACCAAGTGCCGCCTAATTTACTTTCCACATTTACAGCCAAAATAAAACGCTAGATGGGCCAGCACTCACACCTACCAGTATTTCCAAAAGTCTAGCTGGTCAATGATAGGCTCAATGGCATATTCTCGCACATGATGAGTACTGCAGGGAGATGATACAAAGACTCGTTCTGCCTTCCCGAGCAACTGACTAGTGAGGACACCATTACAACTTCACTGACAGCGAAGGCAGCCAGGGCAGGCCAAAGCGACGACACACGTCACACACAGTGTCTGTACACACTCATACTCCTCGCCCAATGCTAAAGCGATGATAGCCAGCAAGCTATGTTAGACATAGCAACTTGTGCTGGGATTATGCCATTCAACGGCTTGCAAGGGTGAAGAACTGACCACCACTAGCACAGTGTCTGCCTGTCCACACGGTCTAGCTAAACAGGTGATAACGATACGTGTATGTACAGCACCACAAACTTTGTACTTGCTCATTTTTCATCTCGTACCTAGTACCCGTGCTTGCTCTGCATCCATGGAGTAGAAAGCCACGCTACTAGTGCAGTACATATCACTACATACAGGACCAGTACATCAGGCATGGCATGCAGTCACTGGGCAGGCTCAGTTACAAGCACAAGCACACAGCAGAGCGTAAACGGCCAAACACAACACGTAGACACACACACACACACACCATGTGCTCCTCCTGCCCATCACCATGACGATACTGCACCCGGTGACGTCCACAAAGCACTGATACACGCGCGGGCAATGCACACGTAAACAATGTAATACGACCCGGTTACACCCACTAAGAGAGAGAGGGAGAGGAATCCTTGCGGAAGTTAGTTTCTGCTCTCGTGACCATTGGGCTCAGTGTGCTGTACGTGGCAGCCCCGCAACACTCACATAAAACCCGGGTGAGCAGTTTTCGGGTTACATGGGTACGTGGTGGGGAGCACATACCTCATACATGCGTACAATTGCTGATCAAACGCGCACACATGCACATATAAACACACACACATACACACACATGCCCACACGCACATACACAAACGTGCACCCACACACGCACACACACGCACACACACATCAGCATCAGCATCATGCCTTCCTAAATACGGCATTCGTTTGCCTCTAGTTCCTATAGCAACCGACAGAACACAATTGAACCACAATGGTCGCACTGAGGGATGTTTGCACCCAGTTGCTAAGGCAATGGCTGAAGTCACTGAAAGCATGCTCCCAGACAATCATTATCACGCTGTGGAACTGGTCAAGGTGACCACCTGTCACAGAGGACTCCACTGACGCCGCGCCACTCTGCCACCTGGCCCAAAGTACCGTATGATGAACTTTAGCCTTAGCCACCCCTCACAAACGAACACTACATTACAACCATACGCAAAGGGTGTGATTTCGAAATCCTCTTGGACATGAGGAGCACCGGTGATCTACGAGACTCTTGAGCGGTTGGTTTAGATAGGTTTCGGGTTTCGTTGCATTGCCAGTCCCATGTGTACAGTGAGAGCTAATTCAGTATGAAACGTTTACTTGGCGGCGGATATACATCCACGTTATACTAGGGCTTGGTGTCAACGAATCCCCAAATACAGTGTTGTCCGGAATACACCTCCATCTGATTCGGCATCAGCTAAGGGGTCGTCGCAAACGTTTTATGTCGTTCCTGAAACCAACATGATTCGTTTGGGGGGGGGGGGGGGTGCAAGCCAAAATCGCAAGTCGACCGACACTGTACATATGACATGTACATGCATGAGATTTTCGTCGTCCAGCGTAGCAAGCTGTGTTCGTTTCAGAGGGAGGGGAGGGGGTCCGAGTACAAAATGAACGATGTTCGTTCCAGGGATGACAGAAAACTTTTGCGACAACCCCTAAAATTGCCATCGTCAGTGTCCACGTCTGTCTATTCAGCCTTGCAGAAGCACCCCCCCCCCCCCCCCCCCTCTCCACCACCACCACCACCACCACCACCACCACCACCACCACCACCACCACCACCACCACCACCACCACCACCACCACATGCATACTATGTATACCTATGTAGGTTTGGGTGGCTGGTGGACAGAGAGACATTTCAATGACTCGCACTTCTCTCCCACATCACCTTGCCCACGCCATGCGCATGTCGGCCCACTCAGTGTCAACTTTCAGTGCCAGGATACACCAGTGTTGACCTGCATGCTAGCCAAGCAACCGCAGCAGTACTACTGGCACTGGAACAACAATTACATACATCAGCATTAGCTAGCAAGGACAGTGCGTTACACACTCAGCCCATGACAGAGTAGCATGACATTGTGCAGACGTCAAACCAGCAACAGTGTCATGACATGACCAGGATATGACCAAGGGCATGGACTTAGGCTGAGCATGGCTCACCTGTCACTCACTTCATCTATCATAAGTGCAGCTGCCACCTTGAACCAAAAGACCACCCAATCCCTCCTGGCCTTAGCCCTAGGTAATTTCTATTAAACTAGCAATCAGTAATCTGCCTGCCTACGCGCCCAGCACTACTCTCTCCAGTCTCTCCAGTCTCTCCAGTCTCTCTCTCTCTCTCTCTCTCTTTCTTTCTCTCTCACACACTCTCTCTCTCTCTCTCACACACTCTCTCTCTCTCTCTCACTCTCACTCTCTTTCTCTCTCACTCACTCTCTCTCTCTCTCTCTCTCTCTCTCTCTCTCTCCCTCCCAGATAGATAGCTGCCAGTCGGCTCTACTGGTCACTGTGTCCAGTGTGGCAGATTGCAGCGAGGCCAAACCAACACACTAACGTTACACAAGGAGGTTCCCTTGATTTAGGCTCTACGGCCTGTGGAGAAGCAATAAATACAAACACAAATACACTACAATACAAATACAATACAACATACTCAAGGGCTCAGTTCACAGGTTGTGATTAACACCTAAAGCAGCCACCCTATATCACATTGTCTGCGGCCTGTGTGTGCACAGATGGCCTATATTCTCAGTGGCTGAGGCCTGTGTGTACACAGATGGCCTATAGTGCACAGCAGGGAATCGGCTAATACTACTGCACTACCACCACTGCTGCCGTCGCCGCCAAAGTCGCAGCAACATCTGCCCGACTAGTATCAGACCAATCTCCAGGGAGGACCTAATGTCAATTCTGTCAAGCAGTTGCCAACTTGTGCAGACCATCACCACATTGCCAGCAATATCCCCGGCTCCATGTAAGTCACGGGCTCAAAGAGTAGAACGTGATAATTGCACCGCACTGGCTATTGCCTTGTGAACAGCCAAGTCAATTCACTAGAGCAATGCTCCGTCTACAACAGCTTCTGGCACTACGCTGCCTCGATGCATGACAGCAGCCCTATAATAGTGTGCGCTGCAATGCCCAGTCAGGAGAGCAAGACCATTTCTGGTCACGGGAACGAATATGCTATCTCTACTCCGTAGTGGAGCAAGCCTGACATGCCTATACTATATACGCAACATATAACACACACAGCATACAACCTGGCTCTAACGACCGCTTTTGCTTGCACCGTGGGCCAGGGGGTGGTCGCTTAAACCAGGTTTTACTGGATTACTTGTCGAACATACAACACACACACACACACACACACACACACACACACACACACACACACACACACACACACACACACACACACAGTCCACCTCGTGAATAATGGCCTCGGGCATGCCAGCAACTCGCCACTAAAGACACAATCTCCAGACACAGTGGCCATGATTGTGATGGCACACTATTAACCTCACGAATAACGAGACACATCACGAATAACGACACGTTTCTTCTGCACAATCGAGGGTCCTTATCTGCAAGGTTGCTTATATTGATCAGTTTGAGCGAATGCAAAGGGAAAAGAGTCTGAAGAAATAATTGATATTCACCACCACCAGGAATCTTCCCTAAAGGCCGGCGATGCTCTACCAGGGACCTTCCCTAAAGGCCGGCGATACTCTACCAGGGACCTTCCCTAAAGGCCGGCGATGCTCCACCCGCTACTCGCCTGGTGTAGTCATAAGAATTAGTATATCTCAACGATTACCAAGAGGCCATCTGTCGCCTATCGAGGGGTTTACCCACAGAAACGAAAGAAACTGATTCACGAGATTGCTTGTATTAGACAATACACCATCGTAGGGCGCTAGGTCATGTGAAAAAACAAACATTTGCTATACATAAAGCATAATCTGTCTCTCTGCGGTTATGTCAATACAGTCAAGCCGGTGAAGAAAGACTTCGGGTGCTGGACACAGTAACAAGAACTCGCGAGTAATGACACAATCTTTGGACCTAGTGACCATAATTATAACTGCATGCTTTCAACCTCACAACCGACAGGGAATAACGAGAAGTGGCGACTAGCGACTCTTTCGTTTACTCCCGGAATTTCAGAAATTTTCGGTGCTCAATATTTTCGGTATGAGAGCAAAAGGCTAGGTTAGGTGAACAGAAATTTTCGGTGCATGGAAGCAGTTCCCCATTGGATTGTATTATGTTAGTGTTTGTTCGGTGTATTGAAGTTTTAGGCATGAAAATGCACCGAAAGTACCGAAAATAAAAGTACACCGAAAATTTGTGAAAATTACAGTGTTTTCAAGGTTGAATGTACACAACATTCACCCAAGTCTGACTGTCCACGCCACCAAGAGACAGTAAGAAAATCACCATCCGAGGTCAACTTACTTACTTAGTAAGAGTAACAAGTGTACTTTGGCCTGGGCAGACATTGTCATTGACTAGTTTATTGGATGGGCCGGGTAGTTCACCAGCGTTCAACAGCATCCAAACTGCGATTTCAGAAGCCAGACTTATTCAGCCAAGTCACGTGTGCGAGTGCGTTTTTCCGGGTTCGAAAATCTCATATTCTTCCATCTCCATACAACTAACAAGGCTACATATACATGACATCGCACCAACCAACTCACCATTGATACTTTGTTTCAGACCTCTCCTCCGAGTCTCCAACATCCCACAACTCACGAACTGAAGTAGATCGGAGCCCATCAGCTACCACTTGCATACGCACTGCACCAAACGGTATCGATCACAACACGTGCCCCGTTGGCCAGAAAATCACGTCCTGCCTGCCTTCATGAGTTTATCTTCTGAAGCCAGCATCCAGAGACCACGGACCACGGACCACTGGACACGGTGAGGGTGAGCTACAGCAGCGGAGTCCGTGCTGCACCGAGTGGTAGACGACTCCCGGGCGTCGCACATGGTACGGTCACTACGGTATTGACCGTACCACTTTTTGCCCCACACACCCCCGTGCACGCGTGAATCAACAAAATACATGATTGTACACTGATCTGGGATCTAAAATTCCAAAATTTCCGGCTCAGCCACCTCTCCCCCATGGCCCAGGCCCACGAGTAAATTGTACTTCAGTTGGCTGACCGTACCACACTAAAAAGTAAAATACCTTCCGACGCCCCTGAGTCGACTTGTTATGGAAAGGAATTCATTCGCCTTACTGACATTGCAGCATGATCATGCTTCGTGAAACTATTACAAGTGCAAGCAAAGCACGACTCTCACACGCGATCTCCGTCTGTAATATTTTAGCAGCAATGCAGTTAGGAAACCCCAATTAGCCCCATCGTCAACATCGCCATCAAGGCACCAAACTCTCACAGGAATGCACCCCCCAGTGAGCATGGTGAGAGTGTAGGCTATGATGTGCCCGATGTCACATTCGCCACGCGAAGAGCGCGTTTTCCAACACCTTGTCTTTGGACCTACCGTACGCTTACCGTCCGAAGACAGACCACCGGTGCACCGTTCCAAAAAAAACCGTTCACCCACGGAAGTGGTGACAGTTATCGGAGTTCCTTTTGATGCAGGAATAACTGCACACTGCGCGCAGCTCTCACACCTACACGTGCAAGAACTTTTGCTGTTTTGGTATGCGCAACCACTCCATGCACACGCATTCCGTTCTAGTTCTCTCGTCCTGGTCCTCACAAACACAGTCTGTGCGGTATGCGCGTAGCATTCCGTTCTCCCCACGTAGACTCTCTCCTCCCCACGTACACATAATGCACGTACATTTTTTAGTAGAGTATTAATTTTACTTCACTTACACTGTCGAGTCAAATAAAAGTGGTCTGCATGCCAGCAAGAGTCCATAACCCCCACATAGCCCCCACATGGACTCTTGATGCCAGCGAGTAGATCTAGATCTCCACACTGTACATACAGATTACAGGGGATTACAGCCTCAGCGCGGGACCAATCATCCTCCTGGCCTTGTATTGACCCGTCGCGTAGAGCTTCATTCCCAAGCGCAGCTGACAGCAGTCAGAAAAAATAATTGTACGCAGTACGTATACACGGTATCTATAGACCGATTTTGGAGACGACATTATAATTATGCTCAAACCATTGAGACAAAAGGCAAGTAACGCATCACTGTCCCTGTCAGTGGCAGAGGAATGGATGACTATCACGAAAATTAACAGTTTTGACTGCACCTCTTCTGTACAAGAACGAGGTCGTGTAGACATAGACGGGTGCTACTAGAGTCAGTAGTACTAGCCATGTACCGGTATTTGAACAGCACACAGCGAGGAACCTCGGAACAGTTACTCCAGAAGTGGTTATGCTCACTGGTATGTTGATCGGAAGCTATTTCGCCACCCTCCACCTCCTGATCCTATAAACTCAAGTCACACACGTACACACACATGAAATACCTCACGCCGTCACAAATGACTGTGTTCACGCACCAGCTAGCGAGCATAACACGCATACTGTACACCAGGAATACCGGTGCACGAGAGCCGTGAACATGGTGAATGATACAGCACTTTCTCATCCCAGTTTGCATGCAGTGCACCGTACGAAGTCACAGAAACCCACCGTGAAGGCACGACTACAGGCATGAAAGGACAGCGCTAGCGCTTAGCGCGAACCCCAAAACTAGAACGGTGTACAAAGTCATCCGAATTACATGTATTATTATTATTATTACTGCTGCAAACCTCACACAGCTTTGTATAATAGATCTGGTCAACGCGAAACCTCACCTGAACTTAGGCAAAGCTGTTCGTCAGTCTGGAATCGCAGTGAGGTAGGGACGACAAATCCCTCTTGCAGATATCTCTCTGCCTCTGCCTCAACTCTGAACGGTCGGAGGACGACGCGACGGGGCTGCGGTGAGACCAAAGTTACTTCTGTCCAAGCGGAAGTGCCACGCACCATACACGCTAGTACTCGATCAGTGCGCGAGTCGGAGTGACAATCGCGTTGTGAGACACGCTCACACCTTAGCTGCAAACTGATCACAATAACAACTAACGTGTTACTTTCGCTTGCAGCTCTGGTCAAATTATAATATTTTATATCTTCGTGCACACGATTCGAATAATACTGAGTTGGTACGCTACACAAATAAACCAAAAGAGATGTGGAGCTGCAGTTTATACGACAGCGCAGTCCGACTCAGAATTTCATCACGTCCTGAACTCCCCCGCGATTGTGGAAAAAATGTGGATCGTGCGGAGAAGTAAGCTGCTTAGCTGGGACTCGGAGTGAGCTGTGAACAGTATTCGACGTTCCTTCACGTTCCTGCCAATCCTGCTACTGTGCTCACGAATTGACAAACAAAAATATTTACAACCAATATCCCATGGAGAGGAGCTGCTTGAGTGCGGTTGGCAGAATGATACAGGTTCCTGCACGATTTCTGTGCCTCACGTTTCGCGATGGAGACTTGATTCGTTGAATAGCCGCACTCTACGAGCGGTCTTCACTGTGACTTCAGGACCAGAGCGGCCACATGCACCGACCATATGTTGGAGTATGCTCTCCCGAGCTCACGTGCCATAATATCGATCTTGTAGACATAAATACGACGACTATGTGTGTCACGAGCGACAGTGCCTAGCGCCTAGAAAACGTGCCGAACAACGGAGACGGAAAACGCAGCTCTGACAGCAGTTCCACGTGGCGCGCAGCACCCGTCACACACTCGCAAGAGCTAGGGACTGAGCGCGCGCGGAGGCAAACACTTTTACTTTAGTACTTCGTCTTCAGTCCGGCCTGATATAACGCACGACCAGCACAATGCTGTCACAAAAATATGTTCTGTCAATATTGTGGCTCAACAGGCAGAGTAGAGTGCCAACGGACGCTGTCAGACAGCAGTTGATCGAGCAAAATCCAAACTCTTGCAGTCTTGGTAGTGTACTCAAGTATGCTCCAAGGCCTGCACAGGCCTCAGCTCGAGTCAGGATCTAGGCGGCTTCACGCCAAAACTTTCCCCGGTGCGCAGCGACCAGCCTTCAGAAGATTCAGGATGTGACCAACACGTTTACCTAGTTTTCGTGCACTGCTAGCTAGCTTGCGCCTTTCACTTTTCAGCGCTGTGAGGCAGTCTCTGTTTTGCACGCCTCACAGAACGTGCAGACGTTCTCGCTGGCACGTCTTGGGATCTGTTGAGAGCAACTGAGCACGGAGTTAGTCGATACTGCAGCAGCTGCGTTTGAACCCAGTGACTCGCGTCGAGGGCAGGCCATGCACAGCGCTGTGATAGATGAACGATGATGGGTTCTGCCAAGTACATCTAAAGGACCCACTCTCTCTCTCTCACTAGGCTCTCGATCTCGTGCCGTATCAGGCTTCTGTAACTGGAATTGAACTGAACGTGGAGTAAAATCGCAAATGTCAGGTCGAGAGAGTTTTAGGTGCTGCACTTGAACCAGTCGAGGAGCGAGAAGGACCTGAGCCAGATTCTCATGTCAGCTCAGATGCAGATGCAGAATGGCCAGGCTGATAGTAACACGGTGCCATGCACGATCACGACCCATGGCCAGAAGCACATGTACACGTATGGAATGCAATGGCAAACGTTCTCTTGTGATGGAAAGAGGCTGACGAAAACTGAGAAGAGGGCCGAAGGGAAACACCTCTACACGATCAGATAACTGCCTACTTACTGTGACAGTCCGTGACTTATTTTATATACTTGTACTTGAAGTACAATTATTTGATTATGGTCCGGCATTGCAGGCACGAATTATCAACCAGGGTGGCACTCTGCATACATTGTACTGCAAAATTGATAGAATCGTGCTGGCCAATAATCATTACCGGTATAATCAGCCGGTGTTGAGAAAACGTGCCGAACCGAAGAGCCATCAACAGACAGCATACTAGTAATTGTAGCTGGTAGACATACACACTACTGGCAGTATTTATTCTTGTTGTACAGTTTAGAGACCGTTCGGGGATACAGGTGTGTATTACCGGTATTTAGTATTATTATTATCATTATTAAATTTATATTTCAGCAGAGGCAAGCCGGGCCTCTCGAGCCGAAGCCATCTGGACGACCTAAGACAGTTTGCTGCGGATCGCAATGGATGGCAGCAGATAATCATTCTGAAGGAGTCGCCACAACTGCCGGATATTGACATGCATATATTGGACAGAGCTAGAGAACAGCAGCCGGAAACATGTGCCTGTATAGCACGGCTGTGCATGTTGTACGCGTATCTGTGTTATTATTTTTTATTATATTTTTTAAATTAAGGATTCTCCAGAGGCAAATGAAAGGGAGTCTCCTGGGGAAGGGAAGTGAAGGTGGCTGTCATGAGAGAGGGAAGAAGGGACATGACAAGGTGAAAAATAAAAATAATGCAAACAGGAACAGCAGAAGCTACTTGCAAAAATTTCTGTATACCTTGCACAGAATACTTGTGCTGCAGATAGTGTCCACGAACAGCAACAGAAAATCGGCTAGCGGATGTCAGACAGCGGATTTCTTCTGGCAGCTTATTCCAGGCAACACTAAGACAAAATAGAGAGGATTGAGTGAAGTATGTACTAGATTTAGGGAGAATCATAGAAGATGGATGGTGACTACTATGGGACACGGAACAAGAGAAATGTTTCAACAATGATGGGTACATGTATCGGGAAAAAACATGGTGGAAGTAAGCAAGGCCTAACATTTGCTGCCGCCATGCAAGTGATTCCCAGGAAGAAAGTAACAATGTGTATCCTTGGGCGTGGACCAGTCAGGCTGCCGCTTCCGTTTACTCTTGAGGAATGCTCTTGCAGCTACATGTACAGCCTGCCAAGCGTTCCTGACACTGTTACACTAAGGGAAAACATCCATATGGGGAGTCGGGGACAGCATATTCAAGAAATGGACGGACATTGCATTTATACAGTAAATTCGCTGTACCGTGAGGGAGAATATTGACATGCGGCACAAGAGAAATACGCGGCCACGGAATTTATTCGTAATGCTTTGTATGTGTTAAATGATGGGGTTAGGATGAAACCCATGTGTCTATGGGAAGAAGGCTGAGACAGTAACCATGGTAACGTATCATGCATCAAAGACCTAGTACCGTCGTCGACATGGAAATCCGGTCGCACGTCTAGCGGCCCCAGGGCGCTGGTCATGCAGCCATGGGTAAGCAGTACATACATGCATGACATTAATATTATGCTGGTCGCACCGGATCAACATGATTGTGCACTGTTCTGTAGGTGCTAAAGGGCGCCGGCCCCGGTCAATCGACTGGATTTCCATGTACGGATCCGCGACAGTACATTACTCATGGGTCTGCGAAATGGTACGTGACACACTTGGTCACCAAGTAGTTGGTGGTGTTGAACAGAGCCTCAGCTTTTTCGGATCATTGCATCTGTCAACATCCTGTTGTAGTGAGCCGATGTGAGTTTACAACTGTAAATATACACGCCTGCTTTATTTCATCAAAAATCACGAACATGCATGACCAATTTTTCACTAGCTTCACTGACTTGTGACTCTGTGACGTGTTTGCTCTTTACAAGAAAAAGATAAGCGTTTTTACGTGTTCCACTGCATGCAACATGCTTTTAATTTTTTAATTTTTAATTTTTTTTCTTCTGTGGGCATTTACATGTACAAATTGCTGACATTGACGCGGAAATGCGATTAATAATAATAATAATTTCTTCGTGGAAGAGAAAAGACATATGGATACGAGTTAAGAGTAACTCTCCATCACTGTAACATGATACTATATACAGTCAGAAAGTGCAATAACTAGGCACAAAACTGACAGAGTACTGAAACATTCGACGTCCTGACACCTAGCTTCAACACATCTCCGTAGCGCTAACCGACAGCCTTCCAACTTGGAAGGTTCAAGGTTATGGAAAGACCAAAGAGGGGAAGGCAACTACTTCAGTACTTCATTACAGAACTTCAGTACTCTGTCAGTTTTGTGCCTAGTTATTGCACTTTCTGACTGTATATAGTATCATGTTACAGTGATGGAGAGTTACTCTTAACTCGTATCCATATGTCTTTTCTCTTCCACATTTATTTATGGCTCAACATCCGAGTTTCAAATAATTTCTTCAGGCGCGCAACGGCATAGTGCATGCAGTGTGTTTACATGTACATGTACATGTACATGTACATTGTACGTCTCAACACTAGTGAGGACAATGGCCGATATGAAGAGTGTGGGCGTTTGAAATAAGGAACATGAGTGCAAAGAGACTCAGAGGCAATTGTTCGCCTGGCTACGGCATGTTTTGATCCATTTTTTCTTGCACACCACCAAGAAGTCTCACGCATCTTGACATTGAAGGTTGAAAATGCACTGCACTCCATTGCCCAACCAATCAGCGGAGCGTTAGTAACCGTAGGCTGGTGAAACAGCAGGGGATGACCGCTACATCCACCAGTTTCTCTGGTGATATTATTGTTCTCTCACCTACAACAGGAGTGCGTGTTGCTTACGTGCTAGTCTTAGTCCAAGGAAACAAAGCGAAGGAACCACTGCACTACTTACTTTCCTCTTGGACTGCAGATGTACATGTACATGTACATGTACAAAGCCACAGGAAAACCACGCGTCTTGATTGTCGTAACTTTTAAAAAGTTTCATGCCATATAGCAATCTTCAGATTAAACATGAAACTTTTTAAAAGTTACGACAATCAAGACGCGTGGTTTTCCTGTGACTAGTATGTTACTGCTCTGCTTCCGCATTGAGCACTCTATCGATCCGGAGGACTCCGCTATTTGTACATGTACAATGTAACAATGTAATAATAATAATAACTTTATTAGGATGACCCAAAGGCAAATCGCCTATCGAGGGGTTCAGCGTTGAATGGTTGTGGTATGACAAAGCAAAGAGGCACCCATTGTGTGTGTGGGGGGGGGGGAGGGGGAGGGGGGAGTTTCGAACTATGTACATGGTGTACGCAAGACTATCGACTTGGTTCTCCCGCCATACCATTTCCGTTGTAGCGAAAACGTTTTTACCGTTTGCACGAGAACGAAACGGAACGAAGCCGATTGAAAAACACTTTTGAAGGCGCTTTGAAACGTTTTCGTAACGTTTTTCAGGGTTCTCGTGTATGCGCTCTTATCAAAATCTGTGGTATTATTATTATTATTTTTTCTTTTTCTTATTTTGTTAGGGATTTCCCAACAGGCAATGTTGCCTTTTTACTGGGATCCCTAAATGAGACTTTGTGTGAGCGCGAAACAAAGCAGGCGACCCGGCCAGGCGACAAGATGGAGGCAGCGCATTCCACCTGTTGGCACCAAGATATGCAATGGAATGGAAACCATACCGGGAGTGGCAGGAAGGCAAGACAAGAGCAGCTGTAGCTTGGCCCCGGGTTGTGGCAGCAGTATGTGGGCCAGCGCAGCGGGGAGTGAATAGGAGGCTGAGAAGTGGGCTGGATAAACCATGCAGACAGCGAAAGACAAAGACGTATTGCTTGAAATTTAAGCGTTGCTCTAGTGTGTAGATCTTGGTGTAAGCGTACAGTGTCTCAGTGGGAGTTCTGCGGTCAAGGGCAATATTCTTTTTAGACTAGTACGGCTGGCTGTTATCAGCTGGTTGTATGAATGGTGGGATAGACAGTTAATGTAGTACACTGTGTTCTTTCGAAATAAAAACGTTTTGGACAAAAACCTTTTTCAATTGTTGTCGTGCGAGGCCTGTACTGCTGTAGTCCGAATGTTCTCTGGTAGATCTACGGCTACC